CTCCGGCTTGGCCTTCAGTAGCCTCTCTGTCGGCTACCCTCAGCGCCATAGATCGAGTGTGAAACAGGTAACGTGCAGTGCTCTGAACCTTGTGCGTGATCTGCAGGCGAGTGAGCCGGTCAAGGTACGGGGATGACGCAGGGATCCCCTTGATTCTCAGTATGGTCGGAATCTTCGTCGGTGAGCGACTTATGATTAGCGCCAAGTTTCTGGATCAAGGCGGTGTTGAGTATGGATACGTATGCACTGCCTGTTGAATCTGAAAGTCGTCACGATAGGCCCCATTTCTACCTCCCACAGTGGTCATATTCGACAAATTGAGCTGAGGATTACACGTCCCATCGACTGAGTAGCAAGACGTTGCGATCATGGTGATACTGACCTTGAATGCTTTTGTGGCCTTTTTGAACTCGCAGATCTTGAGAGTAGCGTGGTGAGCTCTTCGCGATGCTTGCAAGCCAGACACGAGACCTTTCCAGCCTGGAGGACCCGATCTGGTGGATGCTGAGGGCGCAAGAAGTCAAGCAACTGATAGGTATTTGTTTTGAGACTCTTCCATGTCCGTTCTGTACTTTCAGAGTATTGCTAGGGTGGCGACTGTAACAACTCGTTTTCATCGCCCCTATCTCAATAAGGTTTTACTCACTTAAGAGTATCCTTTGAAGTGCAAGCCATACTCTGACAGATGCAGAAGTTTCAAAGGTTTGATTCATTTTCAAGCTAAATTTGAGAGAACGAAAAGAGACCAATCTTGTGGACAGATTGCAGTCCAGAGTCTCATCCTCGCCAGGGTGTAATCGCAGAGAAGATAGCAGCAGATTTCGAGAGCATTGAAAGATTTGGAGATTGAGTTGCATGTTGACAGGGAGATCTGGTACGAAGAACCAGGTGATTACTATCAGGTTCACGTAAAACGTAATTCGAAAACTCCACCGTGACTCTTAACAACTCTTGTAGGGGTAATGATTAAACGGTGAAAGATTGTGAGAGGCACAGACTAAGCCATTCCCCACCTGGTGCCCTACCAACAGTTGCAACTGACTCTTCAAAGTGCCACTGGCGCTTCTCATCTGCAGGATCATACCGACAGCCTAGCTATTGAAGTAGGCTTTTTCAACATGGAGTTGCAGCGCAACGCTCTGTAGACGATCACCGGCGCCCCTTTCGCTATCAAAGTATTCCAAATGCGAATGAAGCTGAGACAGTTCTGAGTGAAAGCAGGGTTATTCAAGCGCACACATGCAATTGTAGATTTGCGTCATCAACGAATTTAACATACTAATCTCAGAGAGACAGAAAGCCTTGTTCGCACGGTCCGCGAGTCGGAGATCTCTACTAAACCGACAGTCAAGCTGCACATCGGCTGGAGAGCCGCGACCACCTACTGTCGTGGCCTTAATCTCGGTCAACTCTTTGCCATCTTGGGCTTAGGGGTCAACCCTCAGTCGGGAGTATAAGCGAAAGTCTGGCTGCGGCATCTCTGTTGACTTCTGAGATTTCTTGGAATTATGCGATGTGCGCTGCTATGTTTAGGTATTCATTTGGCCGGTCGCTCTCGACTCTCTCACCGATGGAGGGTTTTTGAACCTGGCGATTTTGCATGGCTGCTGACATGGCGTGGACGACTCCCATCGATCTTCAGCTTCGGATCAAGTCATCGAAGTGGGTCTGATATTTGTTAGCCTCAAATCAAAAGCGTCATCAAAAGAGACCCGGGGGTTTGACAGACTCACCAGCTACATTCAGCATATCAACCAAGATGTCAGACAGCTTTGGGTGCTTCTAATCTTTGATACCAGGACAGAAAAGTGTGTAGGTAGTCAGACATCTTATTGTTGTCATCAGCTAGCTGAGTGCACAGGAAAGACCTTTTCTGTAGCCGTGCCAAGACGAAGCGAGGCGTTAAGGCTGAAAGATAGGTATCAAAGGGCAAGATATAGGACTGACATAAATAAGACTTGAGGATAGCTGGCGCGAGCTCACAGGCAAATTAGTCTTCCAGAAGTAGATTCCAAGGAAATTTGGGTATCCGGGAAAGAAGACACCCTTATGTATATAGAGGAAAAATTCCAAATTTCTTTCTTCCACAGCTCAGAACAAACGCCAGGAGAAGTCGCAGTGAATGTAGTACAAATCCTCAAAACATCGAAGAAATTAGCAGAAGCATGCGAGGGCAATGTCTTGTTAAACGCCTTTCGGAAGCCCTCTCCAGAGTCATGGGTGAAGTCCGCATGAAAACGGACAATCTCAGCACCTGAGACGCCTCGGACGGTCACTTCTTCCGTTAGCTTACCTGGGCCATGGCGCCAAGCCTCGAGAAGATACTTCGGAAGTTCTGAGTACTTCCTTGAGTGCGCGGATGAACAAGAGCCTGTAGCTGCGAAGTGTTCAACAACCTCTTAAGGGGAGTAAATACCGGACAGTGCGAGAGGTGTTCACATGTAGAAGACTGGAATGCACAGCGGTTCCTTCCCAGCTCGAAAGCTACTCTATCGAGATCGTGCCCACACGGACCAAGAAGTTGGAGCAGCATGCACAATGGGTGCCCTGGGTTGTGCCACAGACGGTGACCTTTGGAACAGACTATTAGATATCAAAGCTTTCTGCATTACAAAGCCGCAGACAAGAACGCCAAGACGCATGCTAGACTTCCCTCAATGAGTGACTTTCGACCTGTGAACAAATTTGACGACAATAGATCAGAAAGAGCCCACACAGCATGACATTCAAATGAACCAACAGTCAGAAATCGCCCCTAGCTCTCACCACCTTATCAGGCCTTGTCTCCTTCGGCAGACAGGTGTTCACCCTCTCCTTGCTGCCTTGCTGATGACGAACCTAACTGATTGGATGCTATCAGATTCGCAGTCGTCAACGTCTCGTTGTAGAGGATCCATGCGCTCATCTCTTCCATATCGTCGTAGTCTCTTTGCCCATTGCGTTCCCTAAGCTTGTTGTCTACTCCTTCCCATTTTTTGTACCGACACGTCAGAGGATAAAGCTCTTCAATGAATGGCCGCTGCGCAACGCCGAACATGAACACGACGATAGCCGTGTGGAAAGGGACGTTTGTACGACCGTCGCGAACGCTGATGACGTTTGCAATTTCCTTGCTATAGATGGGCCTTCCAAAGAGATCATCTGCTAGGGTGCACAAAATGATGGTATCCCAAGTGTGTCGATTTCTCAGCGCCTGTAGCACCATTGTCTCAGCGTCACTGAGAGAAGGTATGGATGGCATGGCTTGTTGTGGTCTAGGGTTCGGGCCGGGTGCTGCCATGGCGAACTGTGTGAGGTCAGATAGAGCTGGTCACTGAACATTACGAATTATAGAAGGCGAAGTGTTTCGGCTCACCACTGATGCTGAACACTTGAGTAGATATCGTCTCGCCTTATGTGTAGCGTGCTGCGAGAGTGTGTCTGACCAAGCCAATTGGTAGATGCGGGATTGGAGACCGAATGCCGATTCAAGAATAGCTCAGGAGAAAAATGGTAGATGCGAAGAAGGTAGAAGCAGAACGTCTGGTAAGATGGATTAAAGTGGTGGGAAAGCTTGCTTTTATAGTGATGAGATGTCGGCCGCCTGGCAAACCAATCCAAGACCATGGTCGGAGAGCTTCGATCCGCCCACTCTGCTTCGAATTCTGATGAAGAGGTTGTGTAACACAAGGGCGGCCATCCAGTAGCGTGACCGAAATGTTCTACAAAGTCCACACACTCTAACAAAGCGAAATAAGAGGTTTCAGGACACGATGACCTTCACTCTTGATGAAGGGAAAGGGTATGCCCGATAGATACTGAGTCCAATCAAAGCCTGCGCATGATCGAAAATATGCAAGCAGAGACGCGGCAGCTTGGCAGAATCATGGAGGGAAACTTTGAAACGAAGGGCGGCGCTCAGTATCTGACCAGTCAAGATATAGCCCATCACGCGGGTGACAATTTTGAGTCATGTCACGAGACGGGAGGGTGTGGAGCTCAGGCGTAGCACTTGAAGTGCGACGCAATCTAGCAGAATCAAGACGCCCAAGGTCTCGGGTCTGGTAGCGTTCCGTCCACAACGGCTCTGGTGTAGATCAGTCTTAACTGTGTTGTGTGGCAGAGAAGCGAAAGTGAAACCATGGCAACGGAAGAGATCCGCATGGGCAAGGTTGCTATGATTGGCTGTAGGAAAATGATGATGAGGTAATGAGAAAGCGATAAGGAGACGGTCGTAGGGGGCAGAAGAAGCTCAAACCGGAGTCAAGCTCGATACTTCAAGACGCAGCCGAAACGAACCGCCTGAGATCAGTGGGTAGGTGTGTCATGGCTGTGTGGAAGAAGACCGCCTGACAGGCAGGTAGCCGTAGCGCGAGGTCACATGCAGATACAGGGCGGCCCTGCGATTGGCTGATTTGCATCTCTCAAGTGCTAACGGAAGCACGGAAGCGCCGGGAAGAGGTTTGGTGAGGTCTACCCGGGACATCTGTCTCCTCAAAGGAAAGAGGAGGTGGGGCGAAACCCTACGGAAGGCTCTGCCGAGGAAACAGAGACTTGGGTACTTTAAGCGGCGATGAAACATGGGATCCTGGCCTTCAATATACGGCGAACCGGATACGGGCTCTACCGGAAAAGCCGCTAAATTCGGCGGGAAACATGTCAAATGGTGCCACTGGAGCTATCGTTGAACAGATGAAGAAATATTGAAACGCATGCTGAATATTTCGAGCTTTGCCAGCTGTTCAATCACGACCCTAAGCGCCAGGTTCATGAACAGGAAATACCCCCCTTTAGCCTTTTGCCTTCATTCCATGCTGGAGTAGTCCAAAGAAAATCTTGGTACAAAGCCGTTAGATACGTAGCCAGTGGTTTACGAACGTAGAACGAGTTTGGCGCTAACGATGTTGAAAAGATTTACTTCGCACACTCGAATTTGCAAGTGACGGAGGCAATCTTGGCGTCTTAATAGACCGCTCTCTTGAACATGCCACTGGAATTTGAACTTTCATTACTGGCTAGTATCATGGTCGCACGCTGTGAGTGTGGAGCAGTTCGCTTGACGAGAACTCCGAGTACATACTCGACTCCGGGCCTCCAGTCTCATCAAATGGTTGATGCTGGTAGTGTGATGATATCGGCGACACGCTCCGTTCGTCCGAGTGTTGATCCGTTGAATGTTGGGAAAGGCGAGTGTTCAGCGGCGGAGGCGAAGGTGGCGACTCTGGAGACACAAGGTCGTGAGAGGGATACGGAGAACTAGCGGATGGCTGGGAAAGGTTGGATGACCTATCTAGCTCATTGCCGTGCGATCTGTATGGTGTGTAGGCAGGTGGCGGCGGTAAAGGCGAGGGTAAAGGCGAAGGCGGAAGCAAAGTTGAAGATGCTGAAGAGACGCAGTCAGCTCTATGCACGGTCGGAGTGACAATGTACGCTTACTTGGAGAAGGCCCTTGCTTCATCTCCTCTAGCTCAGCTTCACCGGATTGCAAGGAACGAGCATTGCCCGAGCCCCATGTCGGTGATCTCCCCTCACCCACATCTTGCAGTGGTCGAGTGGTTCGCCAGCGACGATGTATGGTGAGAAGTGCAAGTAGAAGAGCTAGACCGACGATGCCTCCCACTACACCTCCAGCAATTGCGGCAGTGTTTGACTTTGGAGGAGATGTAACAGCATGGATTACTGACTGGCCCGCTGCATTTACCGTTGTCGCGCTACCAGAGAGTGAGATTGAAGTATGGAAGCCCTGCGCAGCAGAAGCTACTGTATTCGCCCCTGCAGGTGTGTCTGCTGTATTGATGGACGTAGGGGACGACGCAAAGCTGCTAATTGAAGAGGACGTCGTGCTTGGAATTGAAGCCCCGATAGCCGACAGGAAACCGAAATCGAAATCGTCGCTCGAATTAAAGGCGAGAAAGCTCTCGGTGAGATTTCCTGGCGGACAGCCATCAGAGCATGGGTTGCTCTTGCAACAGCCCATGAACCCCGGTGAATTTGTGAAAAGGCAGTTGTACCAAAGGCCGCCTTGGCGGCAGTCTTGATTCTGAGATCTAATATGTGGATTGAAGCTCGCTGGCCTCAAATCATCATGCGGACAGCCATCAGTGCACGCTGAAGTGCTGCAACACCCTACGAACCGATTCCTCAAATGGCAGACTTGGAATCGACCTCCACCAGGGCAGGATTGCATGTTTGACATTTTGGCGACGAGAAGACAACGGCAGGAGGTCGGAGCTGGACGTCTTTGCTATCGTCGCAGACTATGTATGTAAAATTGTGCCAGACAACGGGAGGCATTGTTTGCTGCGACTGACGAGAAAGCATGACGACTGTCGACTGCGCCTTAAGGCACATGAGGCAGGATTCTATGATGGATCGTTACATTCGACGCTGACTGCAGATGTTCAGACGTGATGCAGGCACTGCGCCTGGAACGCGGGAAGGAGCATCTTCCCTGGAAGTCGCGCCAATCTTTCCCAATAAAAAGAGAATCTAAATCAACATACGAATACCCAACCAATGACAAATATGGGGTATATGGTAATGGGGTATGATTGTAAGTTGTCAAAGCTCAAATAGAAGGAGATAATCCGCGATCTGGCTTATGATCATAGAAATAAGGAGTTCGACCGCATTGATGAGACTTCTATCAGCCTAAAAACATCAGACGAAAGCCGAGGCGAAATTCGAGCCCGCCTTCACCTGCAGACACCCCTATTCGGGTCCCGGCCCCGTAAGGCCCCGGAAGGAATAATTCCTACTACCCGCAACGGGGCGGGGTAAGCTTCGGGGTCAAACCCCGAACCGCGCCCCGTTGCGCGCGTAAATATCGCCATGATCGGATAACGAGAATGACTGGACTTCGAGAATCTTAGTAAGCACATACAAAATTTAGTAGTTAACCGCATTAGCAAAGATTGTCGGCAAGGGTCTTTCTGCAAAATGGTAGCCCTACCAAATTTGACCAATTATCTCTATGCGCTAATGTTAGTATGCCAAGATTTCGAAGCCCAGTCATTCTCGTTATCCGATCATGGACGTTATCAATAATCAAGTCGACGATAAGCTACCGCTATCATTACCTCATTAAATCCTCTCATATCAGAAAGCTATTTTTTTTCAAACATACCCCAACAATGGCAAATTACCGAATCATACCCCATATTTGGGTGAAATTTGTTTGGGTTTTATGTAAAATCCATACTTTGGGGTATGAATTAGTAATTCGCCCAATCTTTCCCTCAGACCATCAAGACATACCACACCGATTTTGTCCTGCTCATGATGTTATAGGCAGGCCTCTCGTTCCAGAGGTTTACAATTATCAACGCGGACCTTGAGTGAAGGTCAGACGGAAAGGGGGGCAAGCGCTATTTATAGGCTGCATAGCGCTATACCAACGTTAGACTAGCGTCATTTGCCTTGAGAGGAAACAACCTCGGCACTGCTCTCACCATTCCTTCCAATCCTACGTCCACTCAGCACGCCTAAAATTCAGCTACGGGTAGATCTCCTGTATCGTCAAGCAACGCCCCAAAAGAATCCATGCCATATGTTTCAGCGACGCCTGTCCCACCGGACATTATCTGCCGAGGCTCGTCAAGCCTTCAGCCTTGTCTTTCTCCACTTTTTCTGCACTTCATCGAGCGCCCTCGAGTCTAGTTGTAAGATACTCCTGGGACCATAGAGTCGTCGCAGCCATTTTCACAGATCTCAACCGGCTTTGATGGCACGCTATGGAGCGTGCGTGAGCTCTACCCCTCTACACGTATATCACGCTCTTGGACAGATCTCTAGATCTATATGTTGCACCTCCAGAAAGGTCCGAAAGTCTGCCGGTCCACTATCCAGGGTGGCTTAGGGAATATTACGGTCCAACCTCGAAAAGTCTCTCAGCCCACCCTTTCTTGACCCACAAATCCGTAATCTGCTTGATTTTTGCATGGGCCCGCCAGTGACAGTCAGCTAGGACGGCAGCTCGCTGACTTGCAAGTTCGAGATTGCCAACTCAATTCCGACTTCCTCGTTGCTCTTCATCTCCTGTATGTCTCTACTGGCTTCAAGCTCTGCAGCTGGATGCATGTAACTGTCGAGTTCGCGTTCCCTATCGCTCCCGCCGTCAAGTCCTAGCGTCTTTGCGTTCGAAGTTTTGTCTCCGTGGAAGAGTGGCGCGTCTTTTGCGGCCAACTCGGGCTTTCCTTGAAATCCGGTATCCACATTCGTAGTGACCTTCCTTTTGCCCCTAAAAGCCAAGAAAACAACGAAAAGAAGGCCAACAATGCTGCCGACTACGACTCCAGCAATGCGCCCAGAAGTCAAGCCCCTAGTATCGGTACCAGCAACTAGCTTTCCGCTCGCCTCTGAGTTGGCCGGTGACTCGATGGCGACAACGCTTTCTTGAGCTCCGGGATCCCAGCTGCATTGAGAAATCGAGAAATTGCGGCGCTCGTAGTCGGCAATAATGTATCTAGAAACACGTCAGCATCTTGAATTTGCCAGGTCGATAAAACGCAGTGAACGGTTACGCTTCTTGAAGGAACGCTCTGCCAAGGGTATATTGGCTGTCGTTCGTGGCGCGCATGAGGGGAAAGTATCGAGTTGTATTGGTGACCAAAGGGTATTCTGCGATCAAATCAAAGGCCGCGTATGGCAATGAGATGCTGACTGAGTGTGTCGTGTTGCTAACTGAAAAGATCACCGTGGCATTCTGGGTCTGTAGAGAGTTGTGCAGAGTGTCGTTGACCAGATAAGCCTGAACATCGTTGTCCCACAGTATTCCGAAAGCATCCTCGAATTGCTGACATACATCTAACGGGAGGTAGAAATAGGGTATAGTGGAATCAATATACGCCTCTATGCTGTTGTTCAACAGATGGACAGTGTTGTTGCTGGTGGTCATGAGGATGCTCTCAACATTGACTGTAAGATCGCGCTCATCCACTTGATTGAAGGCAAACGTCACGTCATTCGTGACGAACCGTGATGAGTCATAGCCCCCCAACGTGAGGCTGCCCAGAACTGTGCCAGGGCGATACTGATTTCCTGCTGTATAACCCCAAGACAAGGACGGAATCATAGATCTGTCCTTAAGAGTCGCCATGTAGCTGGGTACAGGGTCATCGAACGTGGAGAAATTGGTCGACCGAGGATTCAGACCGAAGACGCCAAGATAGAATTCTTTTGTTGCGATACCTGCTATGGTTTGCTGTTGGAGGGAGGGTCCATTGCTACCTTGGTAACCAAGTACTATGGTATCGTAGCCATAATCTCCATTGCCGGAAAAGTCAAGGTTAGTCTCAAGCTCCAGCGTGAAGGTCCCATTGATGCTTGCATTGTTATAACTCCATGTACTGGACTGACTGGGTATGAACAAGCCGCCGCGCAACGTCGCGCAATCCGGAGGATCAGAAGCAACGCAACCCTGTGGGACGACGGCCCACGTTTGATAGCCAGCTGTCGAAATCAGAACCTTGACATCTTGGGCAGGGGAACCGATTTCAAGGTAAAAAGAAGACCAAGGACCGTCATTGCCGTCGAAATCTTGACTGGGAGGTATCACTATCGGTGCTGGAGCAGAGGAAGCCATCGGCGGTATTGGAGCAGAAGTCCTAGCTCTAGAAAAAGCGAATAAAAGTCGGACACTTCTAGAGGTACTCTCACCCAAAAAGGATCTGTAAAAGCATCGCGGACCGCGCAATTGCGTCGAAATATCGATCTCTTCTTATGTTTTGATTTAGGGGAACATAAGCTGACTGGTTTCTGCGGCCTTCTTTAGACGAAAGGGTTGTTTTTACTACGCGTCGCTGCAGGATGATCGATTGCATATGCAGGCAGCCTGGGATAGCATGACATTCCTGCTGAGAAATTCAGCCAATCGTGCCTTTTCCGTCTCAAGGGATTTTCCAGACGAAGAATGGCGACCTAGGCTTCCCAAGGGTCCCACTTTATCAACCAATAGCTTCCTCTTCTCCGACGGCGATCATCTCACGTGAGCCTGATTTCATCCGCTTCTGGCGTGGCTATGGCATTTGATGCATGAGCCGGTCCACGGAAAATTGGCTGCCAAGCGCAACTGCGGGTCTCCAGGAACAAGGACTCTCAGCCTCGTCCCAGCAGCCTTATGATATACAGGCAGGTTCTCTGTTTCGTGAAGGGAAAAAGTATCCTCAGACCGCCATTGACCGATCAACATGCCGACCGTCTCCTTCCACTTCGTTTACTGGGCGATTCTAGGCATAGTTGATGTTAGTGCTTTGTCTCTTCGAGGTAATTTGTTCTGAATAACCAAAAATGTCATGAGTTCGACCAGGCTGACTCAAGGCACAGCGTCGCCACTTGCATACAATGTCTCGTCCAATAGCGTCATGACACCATCCGGCGTCTTTCCTGGATATGGAAACTCTTTGAACAGCTCAAAGACGTCTCCGACTGCTATCAGCGCTTACAATTCTACCTTCAAGAATGAGACGTTGGTCACCACTGCTTTTTCTTCGAGCCTTTGCTGTTTCGTCGTCCAAGATACGATCGACGTGAGGTATTGGGCAGGTGAATCATTCTTGAATATATATTTTGGAGAACCATCTTCTGACCAAATGCAATCGAAGACTACGTCACTTACAATACGGTCTTTGCAACCCACGTTACGACTTTCATTACCTTCGCCACTCAGTACATAGACACGACTGTCACCACCAATATTTCTACAGTCGTAAGGATGTTCAATTACACTTCTAATGCAGAAAGTGTTGGGGCCCCGACAATCCCTAATCCATATAATGAAGTACTGGGCCCCTTGGTGACGCAAATTGGGCTCAACGGGTCTCTAGCCAGGACCTTTGGAGAAAACATGTAGGTAAGCCCCTTGCTGTGATATCATAGACCTCTTTGACCGCGCGCAAAGCATCTCCCCAACACAATATTACGTGTTCCCGAGTGTCAAGGTCATCAGTGTCCCAGCTATCGTAGACAAAGATGGCCGTGCAGCATGTGCTACAACGTCAACGTATCAGGCTACATGTCCAGCCCAGACGTACGCGAGTTGGAATTACAACGCCACCAGGCTGGATAACTACACCGAAAGTGCAGCAACAAAAAGTGCACTTTACATTACGGGCATCAATTCTAACGCAGAAAGATACTTCGACTCAGGTTCAAAGCAGGAAGCTCTTGACGTGATACACGTTTCATTTTCAAAACCTTTTATCTACGCTCCTCTCAGCGACCAGTTCCCGTCCAAGGTTCTCAACGAAAATCTGGGCTATGTCCCTCAGACTCTCATTGAGTGGATGGCCCGGAATTCCGACTATGTCTCAAAGTTTCCTGGCATCGCCTCTTGCTTACCAGGAGGACCTTCGGTCGATTTCTTCCTCTACTTTTGCCCCCTTCTAAATCCCGCTATGGGACCTATTTTTCTCGGACTTCAATTTTCAGAGCCACATTTAACCGTCTCGTCGACCGTCACCGTCGCTGGGGAAGGATGCTTCCATCCCGGTGCATGCCCCACTCCAGCAGCACCAGGTGCCACGGCCGTTGCTGCGACGCCAGAAGTCACTCCTGAAGCTGAGCGACCGCCGAAAGCTGGAGCATCCAGCACTGCGCATGGTCAAGACAGTAAGTCCAATTTGTGTCATCTTCAGTAAGAGATTCACGGCAACTAATGATGCTTCTAGCATCTTTCGCCGCTGACCCCAAAAACCCTTCGCCTCCACAAGCTCCAAGTCAACCTCTGCCAGCGCCAGTAGAAACTCCAAGCAGCACGCCAGTCATCTCTCCGGAAACCCAAGCGGTCAACCCTCCTCCAAGCCTTCAACCTAAGGTTCCAAGCCTTTCGCCACCTGGGGAGGCTAATCAACCACTGTCAATGCCAACAGGTTCTTCTGAAAATCCCTTGTTGAACTCTCCAGAAGATGTTCACGGGGCAAACCCTCCGCCAGCCAACCCAGCCAAGCCTCCTTCAAATTTTCAAGGTTTAGGCGCTATCATAGCTGGCGCCATTGGCATCACTTCCACTTCTCTACCGGAGATCCAGGGTGTCCAACCATATCCAATGCCCACACCAACACTAATCTACAGTATCTCAATCGCTGCCTCCGCCTCAGCTGTAGTAGTTAATGGCGTCACGTCCGTCTTACCGGCTGGTGGACCCGAGGGGCTAATTGTCGCTGGAATCACATCAGTTGCCGTGGGCTCGCAGCAGATCTCCCAGAACGCTGCTTCTCAGTATGTGGTAGCAGGCCAAACGCTCATACCTGGAGCACGACCAATCAACGTACAGGGTACCGAAGTGTCCCTTGCGCCTTCCGCGAGTGCAATCGTCATCGCTGGTAGCACGATTGTGCTAAGCTCTACCAGCGCGCCAGCATTCACGGTGGGAGGTGAAGTTATTTCCGCCAATAGTGCATCAAAATACGTAGTAGGCGGCCAAACACTTACGCCAGGAGCTCCAGCGGTCACAATTTCAGGAACACGCATCAGCCTCGCTCCAAGCGGGACCCAGGTTGTCGTCGGTAGTAGCACGATTGGACTCGGATCCACCTTCACACTACCACCTGCATTGACAGTTGGCTCTCAAACCTATACCGCAGACAGCAAGTCCGAATACACGATCGCTGGACAAATACTCACTCCAGGAGGTCCAGCAGTCACGGTCTCGGGGACGCGACTCAGCCTCGCTCCGGGCGCGACGCAGCTTGTCTTGGGAAGCAGCACCATAGATCTTACACCCGCCAATACCCCTCCTCCATTGACATTCGGCTCTCGAACCTTCACCGCGAACAGTGCATCCGACTACATCATTGACGGTCAAACCCTAATACCAGGTGCTCCAGCTATAACAGTATCCGGCACCCCCATCAGTCTCGCTCCAACCCCCTCTCAAGCAGTCATCGGAAGCAACACCATCACACTTTCCCCCGCCTCCACGCCCCCCGTTGACATTCGGCTCTCGAACCTTCACCGCGAACAGTGCATCCGACTACATCATAGACGGCCAGACCCTCATCCCCGGCGCCCCCGCCCTCACAATCTCCAACACCCCGATCAGCCTAGCCCCGACGCCCTCGAGCAGTGGTCATAGGCGGCAGCACCGAGCTTCTCCGCCCCGTCCTCACACCTCCTCCCCCGTTAACATTCAACTCCCAAACCATCACCGCCAACAGCGCCTCCGACTACATCATAGACAACCAAACCCTCATCCCCGGCGCCCCCGCCCTCACAATCTCCCACACCCCAATCAGCCTAGCCCCCGACGCCTCCGCAGTGGTCATAGGCGGCCGCACCGAGCTCCTCCGCCCCGGCCCCACGCTCCCACCCATCATCATCGGCTCTCGAACCTTCACCGCCGACGACGCGGGCGCATACGTCATCGGCGGCCAGACGGTGACGCCCGGCGCATCCGGCGTCGTCGTACCCGGGTCCTTGCTCGTCCCTGCCGCGGCATCATCATCGTCCGTGTTTACGATAGCGGGGCAAGTCTTCACGGCATACCCGACCGCGTTCTCCATCGACGGGACTACCATCTCGGCTGGCGGTCCTGGCGTTGTGGTCTCCGGGACCCCGGTCCGCTTGCGAGCGTCGGGCGTTTTGGACATTGGTAATAGCACTGTTAGGCTGTCTTTGGCCAGTCCTAGCGTTGAGGTTGGAGGGTCTGCGTTTGCTGGGAAGGCGGATCGGGGTTCGTTGAGTCTGCTGTATTCGATGTCGGCTTTGGTGCTTGGTTTGTTGATCGTCGTGGTGTTTTGAGGGGGTTCAGACTTGGAGGGTGTATTTATGATAGATGGATGGATGGAAAAAAGGCGTTGATGTGGTAGTTTTGTCACTGTGAGCTGTAATGTTGTGGGTGGAGGAAATGATGGTTGTTATTATAGAAAGAGACGGATTGTCAGGTTGACGGAATTCACCCTTACTCACCAAATGCATCTGCTCCGTGCAAAAACATCCCAGCAAAGATATCAAGAAATTTCCATTTTTCCTCCCGCGCACAACTCTCATTCCTTCCCCCAAAGCACTGGGGGTACCACCAGATAGCTAGATATCAACGGCCGCATACCATGCCATGCCTTGCCTTGCCTTCCCAACGTCTCAGCTGGCAAGTAACAATAGCAAGTCCCCCCACGAAACACCCACCTCCGAAGCGCAAGCATCTGCCAAACCCTCCCTACTCTACCCCCACCCTACGCATTCCCACAGTGTACAACCAACTCCAACAGCGCCCAATCCCACCCCAATCATGCATCCGCAATCCAAAGCCTGTGTTTTCTCAGCGACGAGCCGCTTATCCCTTTACCATCACTGTCGCTGTATCTGTCGAAGAGCGTGTTGGAGAGGAAGAGAGGGCGACTGATGGATGGAATGATGGTTTATCTGGGGCTGCGGGGTGGAGTGGCGGTGTCAGTGGTATTGTGTTGTGCAGTGGAGTGGATGTACCAAGGATGGACGGGTGGGCGGGCCTTCGACGATTGGCGTTTGGGGGGTTGTAATTTCTTTTCATATTTTTTGAAAAATGGGCGTGTGGCGAAGATAAAGATTTCTGGTGTACGGGGGTAGACTGCTAAAGAAACAGGTTTCCAAGTCACAGGCTGTTGGACCGATGTGACAAGTTTTCAGCTCGAGGATCAGGCAACGCGGGGACGCGAAGGAATGATACGCCGAGAATGCAATTGTGCATGGTGTGGATTTCAGGGCTCAGGTTGTTGGTTACTATCATTTATCTGTTCGATCCAGTGTTGCAAGATCGAAGGCCCGAGGGTCTCAAGGATGGGGATAGGAAAAAAGGTTCAAGGCTCAACTTGTCGACAGCCAATCACCGCTTGGTTCACGGCACATGATGTGCTTTGGTGTTGGGAGTGTGGGAGGGAGATGTGAGAAAGTGTAGTGGAGATGAAGGGAAGAGGCGAGAGAAAGTACGCCCTAGCTAGCAAGAATATTCGCAAGTTTCAGCGATCTCCTAGGGCTTCACGGAGAGAGAGTGAAGTCGGACATGCGGCCGGGTAGATGAGGCAGGATGAGGTAGGAGGATAGCAGCAGAGTCACAAGCATAGGCAGCAAGGTCCAACTCATGTTGAATAGGCTAAGTCAACAGGAAAAATCGTGGGGCAGTATTTTACATTTGTAAGCAATAGTGCCATCTCATTTCAGCTCTTGCAAGAGGAAATTCTAGCAGTCCAGCGCATCTGAGATTTTCATGTCGTTTCCTGAAGCAACCAGAAACCAACAAAAAATGCTCATCCAAGAGCATGGTAGTTGAAGCATAAGCATGAGTATGAGCCGAACAAAGGTTCGAAAGGATGTGACGCCAATGGAAGCACCAGCAGTATGCAGAAACCCTGAGGGAATCGACGCCGATGTGAGGGCCTGACGTAGTGCAGTGGGTAGGTGAAGCTGTCAAGTAGTGATGATCGTTGAAGTAGAAGACTCAGATGACGCGGTAAGCATCGTAGATGACTGCGGTAGATGTCAGCTCCCAACACCGTAGCATTTGATGGTACATACCTTCAGTGCCGCGACGGATTCCACTCCCAATCCACATGCCGGTGTTCAAGTGCAAGTACCTCGAGTCACCAGTCTCCATGTGGATGTAGAGTCTGAAAGAGTAGGTCTTGGGGTCGACTTCATCTGCCTGAGCCGGATCATCCAGCTTCTCCAAGGTCTCCCTAGGCCCGACACGCCATCCTTCATTTCTAACCGAGATGTATGCAGGAGGGTGGTCATGGGTTTGAAGGAGGTAGCTAGAGTCGAGGTGGGTGGAGAGGTCGGGTGCGACGAGTTGTTTGTCTTGTCCGCCTGGCTGCAGTGAAGCCGTCAGCATAGCTAGGTGATGAGCACAACACCAGACTTACCACAACCGTGCCTTTCCCCCAACGACCATTCCAGTGACCGGAGATGTAGCCAACCCAGTTCCGTTGTCCCCAAATGCCCGGTCCAACACTGATCTTCGGGTTCAGCTGGACACTCATCTGGAAATCGCGCTCGAGAACAGGTTTGGGGATGGGAAAGGAGCGCGAGGCAGAGGAGTCGCCTTGGAAGCCGATCATGGTGTCGTGATCACGCTTCTTCGGTTTGGCGGAGGGAGTGACGGTAGGAGTGCCGTTGATGGATTCGTGGAGGATTGGGTTGTCAGGATTATGCTCTTTCATAGCACTAAGATAATTGGGACACTCGAGCAAATGTTGACGCTGACGGGAGGTATTTTTTGCGCGAACAGATTGGCAGTAGATGCATTGTGCGGAGAGACACTGTGTATGGTTTGATGAGCATGCGTATGAGTATGAGGATGAGGGAGAGGATGAGGATGAGGATGAGTACTATTGTGTCGGGTATTGATGGGAGCAAGGATGGTTTGGTATGGGTGGTATAGATGGTAACATACCTTGTCAGATTCTTTTGCGCGGAACTCGACATAGGCAGCATGGACATCACCGTCACCTATTCTCCCCATTCTCATTGACGGTTGCGAAAGTGGTTGGTCCGTTTTGTATGTATGGATCTCGTATTGCGCGATGTGCGAGAGGGTGAATGATACGATTGTTATTTGCTTAGCGGGTGTAGTTCAAGTGCTGAGTGATGAGGTTATGATACGGGGGCTGGGGGGGCTGGCCGGGAAAAGTGGGGAAAGAGCGAGGTAATGAATCCGATTTTTTTCGTTCCGCTTACGTAAGATTCGTTGGACCCCTTTTCCATGATACCTTACCGCTTTTGAAAACAGAAGTACCTTGTACCGATCCTTCCCCCTTTTTGGTCTTGCATGCATTGTATACTTCGCCAACTGTGAAGGGCTGAATGCTGAAGCTATCTACCTAGATCAATCATCTCTGGTTCGAGACTTGGTGCCATATTAGTATGCCCTTAGATTTCTGCATCAATCTCCACCGAGCCAGTCTCCGCCAAATCTCGTACTATATTCTCAGCTACCGTGTGCACGCAACAGAAACAAACGTGAAACTCTAAGAAGTTTCCTGTTGTTTCAATTCATGAGGTGCATGTCTGCTAGTCCAGGATTCTCGGACGATCCACAAGCCTTGGTCTCACCGAAAAAACTGATAGGCTCTGCAATCCTTGTCAACGGGCAACTACAGGTCCGTCAATTTCCGTGATAAAAATTGCAGAAGGCAATGACCACTGTATCCACACTGTTGGTCTCACCTCTAGAGATTCGGCATCACATCTACTCCTTCACCTGAGAGACTTCTATTCGCCTCCGATATACGCAAACCGATGCGAAGCGTCATCCTCTTCTTCCGCTGATTAAACAAGGAAGCCTCCGAGTACTACTATGCAGGACCACTTCCCAACTCTGGCTAAAGCATGGTCTCGCGGAATGTGCTGTAGTTCAAGACGGTGCACAAAAGGCACTCAAAAGAGTCCAGACCCTTCGGCTTTTGGTGTGCCGAAAGCAGTACCCCAAGGACTATAGTGGTGACCTCGACAACAGTCAGCCTGTGATTGCAATGAGGGTTTTGGCCAGTAAGAGCAGCTTGGATGGTTCCTAGGTCATTAGAGAAGATAGTGAGTGGCCTACAGTCGTCTGGTGCGGTTACTTGATGACTCTCATGGGAAATCGAGCCGCTGAGTTGAGAGAAATCGAGTAAAGGATGTGAGGGACGAGAGACAAAGAGATCCCCGGGCATTAAATCCAGCGTACGTAGACGCCTACAGAACCGTGATCAGCTGAATGATCATAAATGGTAATGAGGTGGAGGTACTCGGAGAACTATGAACTTTCATCGCCTCGTATTGTGGAAAAAAGAAAACCCGAGAAGATAGAAGATACATGGTTAGGGCCTTTGCCTCCGTGATTTGAGTTCAGCGGCATTACGTAACTGTGGTTGTCAGGTGCTTGTGGGATGCAGGTTGGAGCTGTGAGTAGCTGACTCTCAGTTGCCTGCTAAGAAAGCGGATCCAGAACAGACCTGACACAATTCAGAGTCAAACCACACTCTCGCGGGTAGCGGTCAGGAGCAGGTTCGATGTTTTCAGCAAGGAGTGAATACCAATGCTGCAGCATTTAGAATTATCGATATGGTTGGAGAAGAAACAGTAGACGGCGGCAGTTGAAAAAATCCTTGGCCCATCAAGGGGCTAATCCCCTGAACAGATTAGGGTGAGCGCCGCCTTATTGGCGAGCAAATGAGTGACGGAAAGTGGTATGCGGTGAACGAGCCACAGGGCAGTGCACGGTACGGTTCTAGTGGTGATCAACGCCCCTTAGATACATTGACCCACGAAATATTACGAAGCTCGGTATATCCTTACCTCAGGTACGACTGCGGGCGCCGAAGGCCTCATTGGTTTTTCTTCTAGGTATTTGAACTCCTACGCCGGCCGGAAACAAAAGTACTTCGCAAGCAAGGCTGAGCTATGCATTCTACGTTGCCGTTGCCTTGTAACACCACCGCATTACATTCTGGAGTATAGGGTTCCTGGAATTACTGCACCTTCTTCCGTAGCTCCCACACGCAATATGCGAGATTCATCGCGGTTGGCCCATTTAGTACACCTTGCATACCAATACGCTCAAAGATTTTGAGGCATTGCCAACTTATAGTATGACTTAGGTGCCTAACGTTATCAGATATACTATTTATACACATCTGATGGCTGAGTGTGTAGGTGGTTGCAGTGTTTGTGCGATTCAAAACTAATTACCGCTCTAATGTGTAAGCGAGGTATCTATTGCGTTGCCGCGAGTCATATGGCCCTAGAGGATGTTTAATGATGCTCCTTCATTTCGTCTATGTGGTTCCTTCTTTCGCAGCATTTTCGAGTCCTCGGTCATGCATTCCCCACTATAGGTGTTGAATTCACTATATGAACGGCAATCGAGCCTGCGACGTCGTCAAGCTCTTGTTGCCGTCATATAGAAGCGTTTATTTCTTCCCCTTCGCCATCATTGGGTTCCACGCATCCCAATGCACTGACATTACTAGTTGGAGGAAACCTTTGCGTTCTACTCTTTCCATTTCTCTCGCCTTGTTAATCATATGCCGAAGAGTCCCGGACACTCCGCTTTAGCTTCACGAACTCCGCGGAGAGAATTACAAAGTCTTTCTTTAGATCTAGTATCAGAGCGTTCAGCGACAGCCCTCAGTATGCAAGCTTACCGACAATCCTAAACTTCGACCGATACATACAGCCTGGGACCTTCAGAGGCAGATAAAGTCCCAGATCATCCGGGAAAAGTCTGTATTAGGGTTAGATCACAAGAAATGTTTCGGTGCTACTAAAACCGTGGGAAACTTGGCGGCTAAGGAGTGGTGGTCCTAGACTTGGAGAGATAGACGGACTGTATGCATCTAAAGAATGGTGTGTACTCGCCGTCGCTAACCTAAGTCTCGTGCATCGCTGTTCCCAAGCTTCAATCTCGCGCCGAAATGGATCCCTCAACTTGTTTCTCCAATTCGACGATCAATGACCTTATATGCCCCACAATTAGTATCGCTATTACTCCTAGTGCTGACGATACAAACTACGCTTTTCCCTGTGCTATTCGAGCAGCAAAGTTCAGTCTTCACAGGCAGAGCTCTCAACATGAACATCCCTCTGCACATGAATCTCGAATACTTTTGTCCCTACAAAACTTTCTGCTTTCGACGTAGATTGAACGCCGTTCTGGTTCCTCCTCCAATCCTCCATTGAGATTATCGAGTCCAACTCCTCTCTCCCAGCGCGATTCCTAGACCTTGACTTCCACATGTGCTTCACTCGCATAAACATAGGAATACTACCACATTTCAAAGACCTACTTCTGATTTCCCTGCCGCATAATTTCTTCATCGAATCGCGAAACTTGCTAAAGACAGGTTTTAAGACCGGTAGGCAAGCGTTGAGGACGCCGAGGATCGCTTCGAGACACTTCAGGAATGCGAGTGTCGGTGTGGTTTTATTAACATAATCGTTACCCACTGGGCTGACCGTGGTTGTCCTTTGAAGCCGATCGGCTGTAATCGCGCAGGTTCTGATGTAGCAAGGCGATCAATACATAGAGTACAGCATATGAAGACGATTTTTTGGGCAAAGAAGGAGCAGAGCTTACAGAATACCCAGCCCAAACATCCCACTTAATGTTGCCTTCTTACTCACCGCCATCTGCAAGCCCCGCAGTACAGGCGTCGGCAGAATCACCAACGTGATATCCAAGAGAAGATTGATACTTGCGTTGAAGAGATCAATTATTTATTTGATTATCACAATAACTGCATCTTATCCTACTATCCCATCAACAAGAGACGGGAATGCAGAGAAGACACTGATCGATAATGCTACTGATGAAGAAGGCGCCGTTGAGGGTTAGAACGGCGTAGCAGGTAAGGCGGAATGGTCGCGCGGGGAATATCCGGATGTAGAGAAGGATGATGGAGGAGCGGATGAGGGTTACGGCGATTGCCCAGAGGATATGTGATATGAAGAAAAGCTGTGTGCTGTCAGTCTTGATTTGTTGTACTAGGGAGAAGAACAAGTCCCTCAGAGACCAACGAGTAAGCTGCTTGGTAGTTTCCGGCGTCTATTTCTTGGACGTGTGGGTCGTTTGCTGACCAATACATTTTCAGCGTAAGAGACGAAGGACTACCATAAATGTCCACGATAACCTCAGCCAGTGCAAAGACCTCACAGAAATTAGAAAGTGAGCAGCACGAGGGTGCAGAGATCTCATACTAGCCCAAGCACGATAAGGTAATCGTTCAGCTCCAGGCGAATTTTTCGAATCCTCCTCGCCCAGAACCTCAGAGCAACTGTCAAGGTTGCGATGATGGAGGAAACAAGTAGGAGAACGTAGCCCGAGGAAGAGAAATAGCTCGACATGCTGAAGCGTCTAGAGCCGGACTCAATCTGGTGATGGTCAATAGGTTGTGTGGATGAGAGTGCTAGCAGAGACTTTAGATTGCGAGGAAAGAAGAGTAGTATGAATCAAAGGTTTTTTTTCCACCGATGTAGCACAACATCTCTATAGAAAAGGGGGAACGATGAGGTTGATAGGATAGGGTAGGGTATATGAAGTTACCAAGGGGTAGCACCTGACCCTACATCATTGCTCCGAATGGCCCTATCAACATAACCACAGCGGTACGAGAGCAAGGCTGTACTTTGCAGCACCAGCATATCATAAAGAGGTGGGCAGCGACTCTATGGGCTGCATCAGCGCAGGTGAATTCCAAGTATTCATGGAATCCGGGCTGAAACGCGACAGAGTTCCTCTGCATGTTTGGCTGCTTCGCCACACGGCGCAAGCATTGCTGTGTGAGGCAAGATAACAGGAGGTAAGCAAAAATTTGAAACGGAGGCAATGACCTAGGGCACTGTGGTAGCATAACACATGCAGGAGGCGACCATTTAGATACTCAGCATCATCTCCACGTGATGCATTCTGCCGTTCGCTTCATCCGCAGTGCACGCGTCAGAACGCCCGAACAATCTGCTCTTGACCGACTCTAGCAGATTCCCAAATATGGACTGCACTTCGCCTATTCCTTCGTCCCATCAGTCTTTTCGGGCTTATCGAAAGGAGTATCGAAGGATTCGAACCGGACTTTGCATCTAAATGTGGCTGGCTCGCTTGCAGCGGAGCCGTGACTTTGCCGAAAGCTGACATGCAGTGTGACGGTACGGCGCGTGTGAGGGCGGAGTGGATTCGCGAGGGACGGTGCGAAACGAGTTGCTTTCCTTGTCCCCGATTCGCCCCAAAGCCTTATACATTTACTTTCGTTGTCTTAGCTCCTTCACTAAACGCCTCAATAGGGAGCTTGCAGATACTTCGATTGCTCTGCACTTCTCATTCTCACATCGGCTGGCAACTCAACACGTGCTTTTTTCGATACTTCCGAAATTGAACAACATGCAACAAGAACACACATCCCACGGCAGCTGGTATCACAACAACAATGATGCCATTATCATTTCTGATGGTACTCCTGTAGATGACGAGGGTGTTCTCGATGAAGATGTTGCAGTGGATGGTAGTGGTGTTTCTTGACGTAGTGGAAGCGATCGAAGAGTCTTTACTTACAATACCGGAGACCGCAGTGGCCGCTAGTGTTCTATTCGTGTCTAAGCTCCAAATGTTGCTGCCCACGTTGCCGTCAAATGCAGTCAGATTGACCGACAAGGCATTGGGTCCACCACCTCCAATAATGTCAGCACTGCACACAACGCCAAGATCTTGCATGGACCTACACGAGTCGGGTTCGTATCCAGTGCAACTCGAGCGATAATCAGCGTGGGCAACCTGGCTGCTCGGTGCTGGAAGCAAATCACCATAGCAGCAATGCGATCCCTGCGATGTTCCCATCACCGGGTTGTTGAGATTGACGCATTGTTGTACGCAGGGGTCAGAAAACGCACCAAAAAGAAGCGAAAGGAAAACTTCAAGAAAGGCCAATATTATGATGCGATCGCTGCGACGAGGCTGCAAGAACCAGGCGCTCCGAGCATTCGATTAATTAGGTAACTACGTGGCTAACTCATTTGATCCGATTTCCACCACCACCACGAGGAGCGTCAGGCGGGATTGGGAAGTTCCGCCTACGCATGGCACACCTACGTCCGAGGGTTTTCAAACTTTTGCTTGGTGATCGACAACGTGGTAAGTACCTACTCCTTTTGTATCACGGCAATTTACCCGATACTCTTCGAACCGACGAGATCCGACACCCAACTCCACAGTCTGGTGGTCCGATATTTGCAATTCGGCAAGTCGCATACCACAAAAACCGGTATCACTACTTGCCCATGTCTTCGACATCTAGAGCTCTCTGCCTCTTAATCTAAAACATGGTGGGGTTGTGACATTTTCAGGGCAGGTATGAACCGGAAGCCTTTGGGATTCGCTCAGGGACTCAATGCCGCCTGGAGCTGCAAGCAAGCATAGGCTCGAAAGACTCAATAAATGATTGATTGACCCATTGACCGATTCGAGCGCTTTATACATGGAGTTATCTTATATTCAATCCTACTCTGGGAAGCTGTCACCACTCAAGATCGAAGATGTCACGTTCAAGTGCCAGCGCCATGCCAAACTTTCGAGTGCCAGATCTTCTGAGCTTGAGAGCAAGCCTCAGCGATAGATACTTCCGATCCACGATCTTGATCCTAAGGATGTCCTGATTGCTCAACCCTGCTGGTATATGCTCAGCTCACGTTTTTCCCCTCCACTGCGTATGACGGCTGTTCCTGAGGACAAAGGCTTTGCCTCAGTTTCTCGGACGCGCCAAACTAAGGACCAAAACTGCACTATACCTTCTTTGTCTCACTTTCACAATACTCGTATGAGTCAATCCCAAGGTTTGGAAGGGCTTCGTATGGACTCCAATGTGCTCCTCGAAGTATGCCACTTTGGGACCAGCTTTCACTACAAGCACTGAGGAGTTGAGTTCGCTTCTTTTCTCGCTTCTCCACTACGACATTACCTTAAACTAACTCATTCGAACTCTAGAAGTCAAGCAAAAAATTATGCTGTTCTAACTGCGCCGATGTTGAGAGCTCATACTGAGAAACCTCTTATCTTGACCGATGAACAACTCATCCCGGGAGTTTGAGGGTTTACTGATCGATCCTCATATCGGTATCGCGGAATTTGGCGGTGAGGGTGAGACCGTAATAGCACGGATACCCTTACATGCCCAGAGCGTCCTAAGTGCAAGGTCGGGCTAATTACCGAATCACAAGTAATGGTAAACTACTGAATCATACCCCTAGGGTATGATTCAGTCATTAGGGGTATGATTCGGTAAGGATTCATAGTTTTGGGGTATGAATTAGTAATTAGCCCTGCAAGGTCAGCAGTCTAGAAAGCGTACAATCGTTTGGGGATGTCATACGCGCTGTTCCGTTGTTCAAGTACGCAGCATTCCCAGACTCAGAACTCCCATTGGCACTACGCGCCTGCATTTTCGCAGGTCCTGGTTGAAGCTCATGAAGAGCTCGGGGTGTCTCTCTTGCATCATTGGAACTCTCGACATCGTCTGAGAAGCTGGGTTTTAGAGGCTCGGCTCTAATGGAGCTATGACACGGAAGTTTCGTCTGAAGAGAAACCTGGTCAAATCCCGTTCCGAATCGATAGAAATATACGGTGGTAGGAAGAGAAAGAATAGATCAAGAGCGCTAGCCTTTGTCGAAGCATTTCCTGCTCCCACTCTTGATGGAACCCTTGGCAATTCCCTAGAGCTGAACGCTGAAATCCTGATGCCCTTAGTGCTGATCCTGGCTGCGTTGTGAAATCACATGCCATCCTGTAAAAGGTCCGAAGGATACCTGCATAACACGCAGACAGACTCTAGTGGCTTGGCATAGACTTTCATCTTTTGGCAGAGACTTCTCTCTGTAGTCACGCGACTGTGTTTCACTGGCATCCCACCCTACGAAACTCGCACCCTACGAAACTCGTAGGCTGTAGCTCCCACATTCGAGCTCTCCAATCTTTATAGCTTACCCACCACCTATTCGCCAGTAGTTTCAACGTACTGCGACACCTCTCACTCGCACCATGACGCTCAAATCGGTCCTCATCACGGGCTGTAGTGCAGGGGGCATTGGTTTTGCCTTGGTCGAAGCGTTCCAGAAGCGCAATCTTCATGTCTTTGCAACCGCGCGCGATCCATCTAAGATGTCACAACTAGACAAGATACCCAATGTGACGCTCCTCTCGCTTGATCCTACTTCACCAGCCAGTGTACAGACCGCCGTTGAAACTGTGCGCGCTCAGACTGGGGGAACGCTCGACTACCTGGTGAACAATGCCGGCCAGACGACCATCATGCCAACGTTGGACTTCGACATTGAGACTGCAAAGGAGATGTATGACATTAACGTCTGGGGCATGGTCCGCGTCACGCAGGAATTTGCGCCGCTGCTCGTAGCCGCCAAAGGTACCCTTGTGAGCATAAGCTCTATATCTACCAGCGTGATCACGCCTTGGATGGGTGAGTTCCCAAAGCCCTCAGGTCTGTCGTCCGCCCCTTAACCAGTGGAACAGGCGTCTACGCAGGGTCCAAGGCTGCCATGACCGCAATCACAGAGGCTCTTCGTCTTGAGCTGGCGCCTTTGGGCGTTGCGGTTGTGACGGTCAATACTGGACTTGTCAAAACGAATGGCCTTGCCAACGGCACCAACTTCAAACTTCCGCCTAATTCGATGTATAAGAGTATTGAAAAAGATATAGCGGGTCGAGCGAGGGGCGAGGACGGAACGCCACGGATGGAGCCTTCGGTCTACGCCGAGAAAGTTGTGGCCGACATTATGGGAGGGGCCAGGGGGCAGATTTGGAGAGGCGGATATGCTTCGATAGTGCGCTTCGCATTGTCTAAGCTCCCGGTGTTGGTAACTGTCAGTTAAGCTGAATTGCGCTGTACTGAAATGCGTACACTAACGTTGTGACCAGGATTGGGTGTTCATACAAAAGACTGGGTTGGACGTTATGAAGACTTAGTTGTCCCATTTAGGCAAAATAAACATCACATGTCCAAATAGGGCCCACATAGGATGTGAATAAGTGGTTGGGCGTTCTCACGTTGGGGATAGCAAGCCTGGACAGGCCCAAATAGAGGCATGGAATGGCATATTCTCGTACCCCAGCGTAAAAGAAAATGCCATGCCTATGGCATAGACCTTGAAGTGAAATGATTATGTACAGGCGTGGGTGTGTGGGACAAAAGTATGCAATGGCTCTGAAAGAGACGAAATCGAATGAAGAGCCATTGACAATTGCAAAACAGGTGACTACATAGCTCGTAGTGGACACCCGTCTCCTACCCCTTACAGGGTACCTGGCAAGGGCCTAAAACAGCGGTAATATCATGAGACCCATTAACCTCCAGTCCCACTGTGACCATCAGGTGTTTTGAAACACTCACGGCCTCCTGTCACGATTCGAGCTGGATTGGGGCTACGAACTCGAGTTCGGCGTATCTTGACTGGGTTTTTGATCTTCTGAGACCTCAGTGACGCTGATAGTATTGGCGAAAACCCTGCGGAAAATTTCAATACCTTCGAAAAGCGACAGTCCCAAAACTCGTGATCAACTCATTTCGAATGATCCTCACCTCGTAGCTCCCGTCCGCGAGAAAGTCTTCCTCTTTCTTCTACCGGCATCTAATGTATGTCATCCTCCCCTTGCAACTCGTACCTGATTTCTATGGTTTCCATCTCATGTCTCCGTTGCTCATCAACAAATTCCACATTCTGCTGAAAACACGATTGAGGACTTTCCCCTTCGCCGCCCGTCCTATCAACGCCTTGATGTACTGTGGCAACTTTGTCTTTCCTTCGCCGCCGTCTCCGAATGGTACAAAACAAAGCCAGACCTATGGGGACGAGTAGGACCAGGACGGCGATTCCAGCGGCGAGGCCGACGACAAGTTTACTCATCTCTCGCGTGCTTACAGACGAACTCTGTGTATGTTGCGACGGTGGTAAGGTTGCCGTTGTAGCTAGAGGCTGCGACGGTAACCCCGACCGCGAAGATGACGATGAAGACGGCGTAGCCGTAGGTCGAAACGGTACTGCTGATCGTGGGAAAGATGACAAAGATAGTGTGTGCGATGAATTTAATGTCTGGAAGACCGGAATTGCCGCAGCGCCGAGTGAAATGACAACGGGTGGCACTTTCATGGAACACGACGGAAAGTCTAGGTTAGAGACGAATGATGTTTCCGCCGCCGGCAGCCAATAAATCTGGTCAAGACCAGAGGGTGTGGGGACGAAGAAGGTCTTCGATAAACGGATTTCGGTTGAGCTCGTTGTGCACCCTGTGTCGTTCGAATATGCAGAGAAAGACGTATATCCTACGAAATCATACCCAATCGTAGTAAACGGCCTACTGCACAAGCAGATCAGTTGAAATAGATTAACTTGGGGGTGCAAGTGACGCTTACCCAGCGCCAAAGCCCTCAAAGGAGATAGGAGGGTGATCAGGAGGTCCTTGGACAATGGTGTCGCCGTTCGAGTAAGCACAATCAGGGTACATTGGCTCTATTATACACCCACCGCATAGTCCGAAGGTGCTGTTCATGCTGATCCAAGGTTAGTCTCAATTAGGATAGACGGCTACGCGAGGCGACTGCGACATACATCGGCTATTAGCTTGTGCATAGTCCGAACGAACCTGTGATATAGACCACGCCAAGCACGATTCAAACGGAACAGAGCATTACTTACACATGCTAGACAGAACAATTGCGAACAGTTACGAAGACTAGCTGGGATTTTTGGAAAAGAAGCATAAATGGGTAGAAAACAGCGGGACATCTAAGCACTTTACTCTACTGATCTGCACTCAACGCATGCACTGCGCCTGCGACGCGGCTTCCAGAGCAAAATGTCGGGGCTCAGATGTTATAGAAGTGAATAGACTGCGAAATCCTCCAAGCGCATAGATTTAGCTGCACTGTGCCTTCATTGTGCCAAATCTGTAATTGGGTTCATCGATGTAAAATCTTATCCGGATATCGTTTGGTTTCATGTGCTGTTTGGTTTCATGTGCTATTTGGTTATGCATGGCTGCGCCGCAAGGAGCAGAAGGCTCCGGTACGGCGCGGGCCATGAAGGGAGGTGGTTCTGCGAAGAACATATAAGACACAGGGAAATTTCATGAAGGCTCGCAGCATCCTTCCGTTCAACTATACTGCTGCGGAACTTCTAGCTCTCCCGAATGCTCTTCGCCCCTGAGCTCTTGCAAGCTGTGTATTCTAGGTTCTCTGCCATGGAAGCACTCAAGGCTGGGAAACATGTTTCACTCGAAAAGCCTTCAGAATTCAACGCTTCAGAGACGCGTAGTCTTCTCCATAATCCGCTTGTAGCGAAAGGTGAAACTCTTCTCTGCAAGCGGTAATCTCATTGGACGCCGTCCACATCCGATTCCGTCCTGCGTGGCAGAAATTTCTCTCCTTTATAGACTCATCAAAATCGTTGAAGCGACATCTACACACCACTTTCCCAAGGGTCTTATGCCCAGCGATGTTCCAATATGATCTATGTGGGGGTTGCTTGATGAATGGGCTAATTACTAATTCATACCCCGAGACTATGAATCCTTACCGAATCATACCCCAAATTTTAATATAGGGGTATAATTCAGTAATTAGGGGTATGATTCGGTAAGGATTCATAGTTTCGGGGTATGATTCGGTAATTAGCCCCTTGATGGATTCTGGGTTCTACAACGTGCAAATGCCACGGCAAGTCTTGGGCACTGAGCCTGTCGAGTGCCTCGCAGTTAGTGTGAGACGTATGCCGAACGGATTAGATCAGAACACTGACCAGGCGTTCGGTGTCAGCTGGATATTCCCAAATGGCGGCATTGGGAGCATTGTCTCAGATTTGGCCGCAACAGGAGGCCATTTTCTCCCTTGGCTAACGAGCGGTCTGCCGTCAATCAAGGCTCCAATGTGCTCAGTCAAAGATCGTGAAAAGACTATCCGATGTCCAACATTGGAAGAGATGGAGACGATTACTACGAAAATTGTCATTATTTGGGACGCCCTTCTCGCATCGATATGGCATTGAATTGATATTATAGAAGATCATATTCTTCGGCATACGAAAGGTAGTCGTGTTGAAAAATAGTGGACCAAAAACACATATTTCAAGCAATACGATTCCGATTTTGGTGATGCTTCCTGGAGCACGTACCGGCATCAACTCGACCAGTTCGTGAACAGGGTGCAAGGGAGACACGCTTCCCGAGTATGGATCGATAATGAGGATTTTATCAGGCCAATCGAGATGATGGATGGAGCCTACGAAAAACCTGGGCTGTTTCTGAAACCATCCAGTTCTTACGCGGCCTAAGTGGTGGCTGGGAGGAAAATTCTTCTTGCCTATTGTATCATTTGGATGAAAAGATCGGCTCTACATGCGAGTACCGACGTCCAACTACATCTAAAAGACAACCTACTGCCAACTTCAACATCTATAGCCTATATATACGCACCAAATAAAAATGCAGACTAGCTCCTATATCCAGATGCTCACTTATGCCGATTGATCAGTCCCCTCTACGTAAGATCTTTTCTCATACAGGTAGGCTTTCTGCGCTTCCTCATGAGCACTCTTGTACTCTCCAAGGCATCTGGAATGTCGCCCAAACCCAGTTCCCCCTCAAACATCATTCTCAGAACGGAAACCATGTCCTTGGATTAGCTTCACAAGGGAAACATACACAACTACCGTTCCACCCCAGCAAAAAAACTGGCAGCGTGATTCGTAGGCCTCACGTTTGCAACACTAAAAAGTAGGCCACTTATAACCAAGAAGCCTATACAACCGCCACCGGTCGACGGTAGGTACTACAACACACTATTACACACCCTTTAATATCCAACACAACGACCATCTCAACTACGCGCGCGCGGTGCCGACGCCTCGGACTCCGATTAGCTCGAGAAAGCAGTGTCCGAATGCCTCTGTGTCGCGGAACAAGGTCACCCGACGCCGTCTCCGAGCGACAGGAGTGAAATTTCGAAAGCAACATGAGATTTCGAGTGCACATCGACGAGACTCCATCGACTCAGCGAACGTCAGAGCCCAGATACTAGATCAGGAGCTCGTTGGAAGCGTCTGCGAAGGTGATTTCACGCACCATATCTTGCGTGAACGACCGTTATTGGTGCCTATGAAGCCACAAGCCTGTCCAACAGTCGAGTGTTTTGCGAATTGGGTCCTGAATTCTCTGGGTGTCGAAGACTCCTGTTTGGGAGAGAAGCACTTGACGTCTTAGAACGAAACACTATGAACACGAGAACACTGGTCCGCAAGCTTTCAAAATTGGTGTATTGCTAACGGTGGTGCAGATTGGTGTAGAATGGTGGAAAGAAAGTCGCGCCGAAGGAAACATAGATACTTGAGTAGATCGTTAATCCGGAAGCTCATATCTCCTCTCCAAGTTCCGAGAAATTTTTCTCACAACTTCTTCTCTCTTATTGAAGTGGCATATCCCAAGTTATATCATGCTTCACTGGCATCAATTTTGTGCTGTCGCCGTTACAACATCGATGTCTAACATTTGTTGCTGCCTCAACATGAAATGGCTTCGACTTGGGTTGACATGCGTAGAGTCTGTAACGGGATCTTCAACCGGAGCGGCAAGACCCTGAGCGTTTTCCACTTTGTTCTTCGCTCCTACTGGAGACCCAAGCTCTTGAGCGGACTCTAACACCATGGGCTCATTTCCTGACCGTATCGGAGACTCAAGCTCATGCGGACGTTCCACTCTGATGGACTCGTTTCTTTCTTGGGCTGGAGACTCGAGTTCTTGAGCATTCTCACATCCCATCACCTTATGCCTTCCTTGAAGAGGCATCTCCCAGCTCACATGACTCCCCTCTGGCATCTCATGTATGCCTGGTCTTCCCTGCAAAGGCAGGACCAGACTATCCGTCTCGTCAGGCATCTGATAGATCTCATCCTTACCATCCAATTCATGTACGAGGTGCTCGCCATGTAACTCATGCCTTCTTCTCTGCTCATCTTCCAGCTCTGCCTTTGGCTGGAGGTAAGGTAGTGAGTCGCGTTTTGGTTTCGTGATATCGACCCTAGTCCGGAGAGGTCGTGATGGCTTTCGACGCATAAGCCTATGGATTCCAAGCACAATTGTCACGATAAGTACTTCGATTGGAAGGACACCAATGGCTATGATGACCTGAGCAAGGATGCCCACTTCGGAACCGGAATTAGTGGAGCTTGCCGCGGCTGCTAACGCTTGTGACGATACTGCTGCGGCTAGTTTTTGTGACAATGCTGCGGATGATAAGCTTGCGGATGCAGATGCTCCCACGGATGCTGCTGCTGCTGATCGACCATCCGCTTCGCTTAGAGGTGTCGCTTGTGACGCTGGTGGTGCTGTTGGAGCTGCACCGAATGATTTCGCCGACGAAATGCTCGTGGGAGTTGTAGAATTTGGATTCACTGTCATAGATAAGTTGGAATGCGCCCAAATTGATAATGCAAATACTGTGGTCAAAGCTTACCGGCTCCCAGAGCTGATACCGACCGAACAAAGCAAAAGCCCAAGCCCGGGATGACACAAGCGATCAGTAGGGTCATCTTCCAATACATCGAGAAATCCGAATGGTCTTAAGACCATGCCCAACAGATTCTTTCCTCCAGTCTACGGAGCCATTCTGTGACTCTGGAAGGTATATGTGGAGAGAAGACCGTTGCGGCAAAAATGTTTTTCCCAGACCAAGCATGATGGGTAGTAGCGCTAGTCAATAAGTCGGTTGCTACTGACGAAAGGGGATGTGCTTGCGAGAGCTAGTGCCTCCGGTTTAAGTTGATTCCAATCGCATGGCTTGCTGACTACCTTTCCCTGTGCCAACATTTTGTTGCAGTGTGCGCCCTGCTTTTAACCCCACTTGGTGTCACGGCATGGAGGTCTATAAGCGAGTATCGTTGGCTCGCTTGAATCTGCAGGCGTGCATTATGCGCACGGCGCGGGCGAGCATGCGATTGGTGTCGATGATCCGAAAACCCTTTCTAGACATAAGAATGCGTCATAGAGCAACGGTACCATCCATGTTCTTGCCAGTCTTAGGATACTCCTAATAAAGTTCGAATTTGTGTTGCCCTGCCTCATTCTTATTAGACATCGATCGCGGGAAGATCATCGACGGCGGAAGCAGCACGAAGGCACTCACATTTCCTTCAAACGGTCATTGCCATTCAACTCGTGTCTGACGGGCAAATATCGCATCCCTGATCCCCTCTCCTCTTGCATCTCCGTTACACGATCATTGTTTTCCACTTTTCAATCGATGTCTCCGGCTCTCTGCCGGATCGGTCGTGCCACTACCACAGAACCGCGACAGACCACTCCAGAGAAGTCGTCAAACTTTTTACGTGTGAACGCGTCCCGTGTCTGCGATCAAAGAATGAAAAGGCTGAGCGTAGCTCCAGCTCGTATGTTGTACTAACTGAAAAAGGGCTGAGATCCCACATACCTAATACTCGCGGTGCTGCAAACGCGATCCCCCTTGATGACTTCGTACATAATCACCTCGGGCTCCCACTTGCGGCCTCAACTTTACCGAGGACTTCGAGTTCTCTCGAATGTTCCGCGCCTCTCAACTCGTGTACCTCGTCACACGATGCTGACCTCGTTTCTGTGTTTGCGGCGCCTGGCATCTCGAATATGCAGTCTTTTCCTTCCATCTCATACGTATCTCCTCCTGCATCTAGTTCGTGTTTTCTTCGTTCTTCATCTTCTAGTTCCGCTTTCTGGTCCAGGTAAAGTTGCATATTCGATGTCATTGCTGGATGGTTCGTGGACGCTGCCAGGCTTCGCTTCTTCCGGTATCGACGGATGATGATGAAGCAAAGGAGGAGTATCATCAGTCCAGCACTTGGCACTACGACAGAAAGGATGATGATTTGCGTAGAGTGGACATGTTGCGAGAGTACTGCGGTCTTCGCCGACGTCACCGACGGTAATGTAGTTGCTGAGGTCTCTGCCGCAGTTGCCGAGATGAGTGTCGTCGCTGAGGTTGATGCTATGAACATTCCTTGGTATGTTGGTAATGATTGACCTGGCGTCAAGGCAGCAATACATCCCTTGTAACCTAATGTGGCATAGAAAGAGGAGTATGCGTCATTCACGAAGCTGCTGTAGTTCTCAGTTTCAACAGTCAAGGGAACGGGGAAAATTTGTGCATCGACCAATGGGACCGGTGAGCTAGTATATGTAAGGCAGTTCCCTGTCACTGAGGAGGTCGAGGTGACAGAGTATGCTGTAAAAATGAGAGAAGCTTGCAAGAATGCTTGTCTGTGATTGTATATCTCAGTTGCAGATAACGGAATCGGAGCTTCGCACTTACGCATATGCGGGGTTATAGTCAGTAAAAGAAGTGCTGCTCGTTGTATCTATTAGCCGCAATATAGCAGTGTCAGGGTTTCATGCTTACGCAACTCCAGGTTCATAGGGGTTAAAATAACTCCAAGAAGTGCCGCGCGAGGTAACCACATCTGCGTTCACATTGTAGCCTGTGCATGTTGGTGCTGCACTACAAGTACTGCAAGAGTCTCGTTGACAAAATGAGCAGTCGAGAGTTTCATTACGCTGATCGACACCCACCTGACGTTGATTGACCCGAGCACAATCTTCGGACCAAGAAGATGATGAGCAGTTTCTTCAGATACAGAACCATGGCGAGAACCAGATGAAAATACAGTGCACAAAAGAGAAGGAAAATCAAGTTCGAGGAGGAAGTGGCTCGGATGCCTCATAAGAATATGCATGAAGACGTAGGACAGTGCTGCTAAGATAGCAGGGTAGCAATCTGGCATGCGTGGTAGTAAGCTGCGCCTGGAAGAAAAAGACCATTGCGCCTTTTTAGTGCTATCTGGTAGCTTACATGCAAGCTGCACTGCGCCACCATCTTGCGGCCTCCGAAACTGCTTCATCCGAGCTGAAGGATCTCTAGAGGTATCCTACGACGAAACACAATCGCTCATTCTCGGGGGTCAGCGCGACGTTACATTGCAGCAAGGGATCGGCATTAGTTGCGTCATCTTGCAAAGCAGAGGTATACTACGTGCTCGGCGTCCAGTACAAGAACGTCACGTTCGGAAGTAGTTGCTGACGTGACGGCTTCTTTAAATAGTAGGGGGAACTTTTCAGAGTTTGATTACAGCCTTGGAGCCTCCAAAGAACGCAAGATTCTTGTTGTTTGCTTTTAAACCTTTGGGAAGGCAAAACAAAGCAGAGAGGATCAAAGTATTGCCATGGGTTCTAAGACACTCAATTTTGAAACGATAAGAATCTGGCAGAAGACATCGCATCCGTGCTGACTGAAAACATGGATATTGTTATTGGTCAACGTAGGCGAACTTGAATTCATCGTGCGTTAGAAAAGCAAGTCGAGTTAGCATACTTCCAGTCTAAAGAATATGGAAAAAACTTAATTCATGTTGAAAAGCAAGTCGAGGCGATGTCGGAAGAGACTCAATGATTGCACCATCAAGTCGGAGGTACGCGGTAGGGAGAAATCCAATGGCGCGGAAAGCCCCTCACACCCTTTATCATTGAAGTAGTCCGGATCCGTTCTCTGCGGAATTAACTTGTAACACCGTATAAGAATCTCAGGCGAATCACTAATTCATCGCCACAGCTTGACTGGGGGCTAGTGAGGGAGAGGCACAGCACACACTTATGGCAGGATAGCCGAGATTGCCATGTTGGAAGAGCCTTGAATAGGCGGTGTCCCTCCTGTTTTTACTCTTCATTCTTATTCCTCTCGTCGTAAGAAGAGGTTTTTTACACTTTTCTCTTTTCTAACATCAGACGAAAGGAATTTTCATTTAAAAAACACATTATTCTTCTACTTATATTACTACTATTTAGCTACTATTAATAATATTAAAGCGTTCTTATAAGTCTATCGTAAAGGCTATAACTATATATTAGACTATCGTTATTAAATTATTATCTTTATAAGAATCGTCTATTAAATCTATAAAAGGGCTCTCTAATAAACTCTTATCTCCCTCTATTCTCGCTATATCTTCTACTTATTAGCTAGATTCTTTAATAGAATTATTTACCTCGTTAAATCTAATTCTTAATTTCTATATTATTTAATTATAATTTATTTATTAAAAACTCAAATAAGAATAGATCGACGAAAATAATATACTCTATAATTACGACAAACTCGCCCGTATATATAAAGCGAGGTTAATAAGATTTATACTCGTCGCTAGTTAACTATCTTTATCTTATATTAGCTTATATTATAAATCTTTATATTATCGACTTATTAGTCTTTTCTATTCGCTTTATCTTCTTAGTCGTTATCTATATCTCTTTAAGTTTTATAATTAACTTTAATTTTACTATAATAGAGAATATTAATATCGTCTAAGATAAAAGTAGTATTATATCGCTTCTTTTTATATTAAGATAATAACTCTATAATAATCTTTCTTCTTCTTTATTTTAAAGCGGTGAATCTAAAATATATTAAATAAATCTATTATAAAACGTTTAATATTAAATATCTTAATAAGCTATTTAATAGCTTTATTAACCGCCTCGCTAACGATAAGAAGATTAAGAAACTTAAAGAGCTTCTTTGATACTTCGAGGTCTATAGTTAAATTATATATTTCTTTATCTATAAAATAATCGCCTTACTTCTTTAAGAAGCTCTATTAAACTATCGCTATTATATTTCTAATCTATTAACTATCTATATCTTTTAATCGATATATTATTTTTATAAGATCTTCGTTTATAATAGAATTTAGCTTTATTAAGACGATATCTATATATAACGAATACTCGATAATTATTTAGAAAATCGAATTCTAAGATAGCGACTCTCGTCTATTTAATCGAAAGTTTATTTATTATATAATTTACGTCTAAATTAGACTTTATTCTAGATATATTATAATATTACTTCTATATCTTCTTATTAAAATATTTAAAACCCTTAATTATTCTATTATAATCGATTTAATTATAATAAACTCTATAACTCTTAAAATTATTATTATCTATATATATATAATATATATAATTAATTATATTCTATTATTAGCTATATTAATAAAATCTTCGCTAATATTACCTCGCTAGATATAAAGTCTTCTTCTACCTCTCGATTATAATTAATATCGAGAGGCCTTAAGTCGATAGTTAAGTTATTTCTATATATACTTATCTCGCTAAATAAGTCTTTATTAAAAAGATATAGTCTATTAAAGAAAGACGACTAAAAGAAATAGCTTAAGAATTATCTCGATTAGATATTCGCTAATATCTTATTTATAATTATCGCCCGCGATATTAAAATAGGCTATTAAGGCTTTAATTAGTTATTATTAAATAAACCTTATTTTAATATCGCTATAATACTCGAAATACTATTTAAAGACCTTTAAAAGTAGAAGAATAATAATCGTCTAATACGATTAGACGTAGAACTCTCGAAATACTTTATTTCATTTTTATTAAATCTTATTTCGAAGTATAATAACGACTAAAGAAGAATTTACGATCTTTTCTTTCTACGACTATACTTCGTTAACTACTATATTTATAAAGTCTATAAAGTACTCGAGTATATTATATTAGACGATATTATCGATATCTTACTTACTTAAAGCGAGAATATAATTATAATTAAATAAGACCTCGTTAACGTATTTAGATATATCTCTATAGCCGAGTCGAATTTTTAACTACTAAGTTTCTTTTAGAATAGCTTCTATTATATTAATAGATTCTTATTATTTAATCTATATACCGCACTCTTTATTTTTAATTTATTCGCTAAGACCCTTTATTAAATACTTATTATTATTTTATTCTAAAGTATTATTTTTTACTATCTAGATAATTTCTTCGCTATCTTTCTATTTAATAGCGATATAAGCTAATTTAATAATAACTTTAATATCGTCTATAATAACTATAATTTAAAGATAAATTATATTAAGAATAAAAAAGATACTTAAATTAAATTTTTAGAAATTAAGTTTAATAGCGAGAAGATAAAGATTAAGCTCTCTTTCGATAAGTTAAAATAAGCGAGAAAGTTAATAAAAGCTCTTCTAAATAGATAGAGTATCTTCTATAACGAGCTTAAGTTAGCGATAGATCTACTATTCTTCTTCGCTAAAATAATAATCTCTAATAGAGCTTTTCTAAGAAGACTCTACTTCGTATTATTTAAAAAACGAGAATATTATTATATTATCGCTATAATCGTAGCGAATTTACGCTAATAAAATATCTTTCTATTTAGATAAAATAAGATATAATTACTCCGCCGTATAGTTATACGCTATTATTATTCTATATAAATAAACGCTTCTAATAAGCTCGAAATAGAAAGATATATTCTTAAGAATATTATTACTTATTCTAAACTAGACGATATATTTAATATATACTTCGCTATTCGCTATCGTAAAAAGAATAATTATTCTTATAATTATTTTTAAATAACTATTTTACTTATATTAATTATATCTTATACTCTACTATAATAATAATATTATTATTAAGAATATTAATAGTAATTCTATATATAAATTAGCTATAGTATTACTTAGATAAATAGTTATATTATTCGCCTAATACGATATTATTTATAATATAATTTAAATCTCTATTCATCTGCAAATTTAAAAAGTTTCTATAAAATTTGAAATTGCTAATCGCGCGTTTATCGCGGAAATTACAAAATTCATCGAATTAGTAAATCTAATTAGAATCTACCTAAATTCCGCCGGTTTAATAACTATTCTAATCTTTTTTACTAGTTCTATTAGTTTAATAGTAATACGTATAAAAAAAGAAAAGTTCTAATAATCGACGTTGCGATGATAAGGTTCTACGACGATAAATATCAATATTAACTTAAATTTAATTATAAAATTAAACGATTTAATAAAATTAGTCGCGTAGATAATACTCTAATATAGCGTATAATAATATATATATTAATAATAATATATATTAATATTATATATATATAGAATAATACTTAGAGTATATTAGAGTATATTATATAAAATTTTTAAAGTTACTAAAAGTTTTTAAAGTTACTAAACTAGTAGAATTAATAAAAAGAATTAGATATAAGTAAAGTTTACTTAATAGACTAAATTATACTTATAATACGAACTCGGCGAAAATCGTACGAAAATTTACTTTTCAGATTTATAGATGTTAAATAAAATACTTTAGTCGACTTACTCTCTTACTTTAAATTTAATAAAATTATTAATTTATATTTATAGCTAAACGCTCTTAATCTATATAGAAATTATTAAATCGCGATTTATCTAAATTATAATATAAGAAGACTTCTCTAAATTATAATATCGCGAGATATCTCTAATAGAGTTTAATTAATAAGATAAGAAGTAGCTATTAAACGGCGAAGGCCTTCTATATCGAGTTTTATACCCTATTAAGAACTATTACGTTTTTCGCTATTATTTAATTATTTATCGATTAAATAATATATCTAATTAATTATTATATTTAGATTAAATCTATTAAGATCTATCTTATAGACGTTTAATTAGCTTATATAAATATAAGATTTAAGAATCTCGAGATCTTTTATTATCTACTATTATAGCGAGTAATCGCTAATATTTATAAATTACGTAATAAGATCGATATTAAAAAACGCTATTTAATTATATAAGATCTACTACTTTATATCTTTATCTAATTCGATAAGACTTTCCTAGAGAAAATTACTTTATATACTTTCTTTTATCTCGTATTTACTATATTTCTTTATATAGGCGAATTTATATAATCTTAAGCTAAATCTAAGAATAGCGACTTTAAATAATAATATATTATAAGATATTTAATTACGCTCTATAGTTACTATATAGAGCTATTACTATTATTCTCGAAGACGAATCTATTTAAAAGAGAAATTATATTATCTATTACCGCTATAAATAATAATATCTACTCTATTTATTCGCTATAAAACTTATTTACTCGCTTTTCTACTAGTAAGTTATCGTCGCTATTTAATTCGAATAAGACTTTTATAAGATAATATATTATCGCTATATTATATAATACTCTATATATACTTAATTACTCGAGTTATTACTTAGAATACTCTTTTTATAGAGAAACCGCTATCTTCGCGAGAGACGTCGATCTAATTAATAATAAGATTTAACTATTTAGTCGTTAGAAGTCTAATTTATATCGTCTATATATCGAAATATACTCGATTTATATTCTCGCTATATTATATTACTTTTAGCGTTTTTATATAATTTAAAGCTAATAGATTCTTATTAGATATAAATCTATTTTAGAAGTTTTTCTAAAGTTAAGCTATATAGTAAATCGCTATCTATATATAATTAAATCTTAAAATCTAATTAATTATTATTTAGAACTTATTTATATATATAGTTTTTATAGAATATTACGCGAGATAGTATTAGTCGTTATAGCTTAATTAAAGACTAGTAAGAATAGAATATAAATACTTATAATAGAATAGCCGAGATTATTATATTGGAAAAGCCTTAAATAGGCGGTATCCCCTCTATTTCTTACTCTTTATTCTTATTCCTCTCGTTATAAAAAGAGGTTTTTTATACTTTTCTCATCTACCCGCGCTTTATTTTTTTAGCGTTTTCTTATACTTAGACTTTAGGTCTTCTATCTTATATAGAAGGAGTTTTCCTAGGATTAAGCTGTATAGTAAACCGCTATCTGCGTGCGGCTGGGCCTTAGGACCCAGCCAATCATCGTTTAGAACTCATTGTGCGTGTAGTTTTCATGGAATGTTACGCGAGACAGCACTAGTACCCCAAAAGTATGGATCCTTACCGAATCATACCCCTAATTACTGAATCATACCCCTACACCAAATTTCACCCAAATATGGGGTATTATTTGGTGAGTTGTCAAAGTGGCCTCAAACTACGAAGGAGATAATCCGCGATCTGGCCTATTCGATCATAGAAATAAGGGAGTTTCTCCGACCGCATTTGATGAGAATTTTATCAGCCTAAAAACATCCGATAAAAGTCGAGTGGGCGAAATTCGAGCCCGGGGGTGTCCGCACTTCACGCTGTAAATACCTCTATTCGGGCCTATATCGGGTCCTAGGGCCCTTCATGGGACCCCGCAGGGCCCCCGAAGGAATAATTCCTAACAATACCACCGTCATTAATAATCAAGTCGACAACTACTACCAGACGTTTAGTAAGATTAAGCCTACCGCTACCGCTACCTTCATCAGACCGTCTCGTACCAAGCTATTATTCAAGACCCTCGTCAAATTATATCCCAAGCAATGGCAGATTACCGAATCATACCACATTTTTCGGTGTGATTTAGTGTCGGGGTATGATTCGGTAAGGATTCGTACTTTCGGGGTATGATTCGGTAATTTGCCCTAAGAATCTCACACATGTCCTCCACCATTGAAGTAGTCGGATCCGTTGATTTTGTAACAACAAGAGGCAGAAACTCAGCCTCACATCGTTGCTCATGTTCGGGGACTAGTTTCTCTAAGAACTTCCTTGCCAAGTAAGAAAGTCTATGTGATATAGTAGTCGAGACAACGTATAGTACTCGATAACTGGTTATCAATGTTTTAATCTCTTCTTATCAGGCGGTTTACGATCGTTCCGTACATTGTCATCCCCTCATCGGTTTTCAAGGCCAACCTGAATCTCGCACTAGGCGCAGATCCTTCCGACCGTTGATCAGAGAGCCAAGCCGGACTATGTACCTTAAAGCAAGGCCTGCGCTACTCTCGCAGCTGCAGGTCAGCGCACCTTCTTGATGCATGTAGCATGCGTAGGGTAAATTACAAATTCATACCCCAAAACCTTGGATCCTTACAAATTCAACCCCTAATTACATTTTCATACCCCAATGGGGTATGAATCGGTAATTGCCATTCCTGGGGTATGAAAATGTAATTTACCATAGTGCGCTGAGGTTAGGTCTTGCCCGGACCGGCCCCGGGAGCCCCGAACTGAAGACCTCTAGGGTTCGCCGTGTAACTCGTCGAAATCTCGCTCCGGGGCTGAGGCGAGCTCAATCCGCGATAAATTTAGGGTTCAATTTTCTAAGGGCTTTTTAAGGCTCCCGGGGCTTCTTTATGGACGTTAAGTGCCGGGCACTTAAAGACGTAGTTTAATCAATTACAAATTCATACCCCAAAGAATGGTAAATTACATTTTCATACCCCAAGATTTAGTGGAGGGTATGAAAATGTAATTAGGTATAATTTGTAAGATCCAAGGTTTTGGGGTATGAATTTGTAATTTACCCAGCATGCGTAGATACAGTCAGAGACAAACTCTTTCCATGCGCCCGGAACCGAACATCCGCATGAGACCGTGCGGGGGGGGGGGTCCTACCAAATCGCACAGGACCTCATTTACCATCCTTCGCAACTTGCTTGGGGCACCTTTTGCGACAGTCTTAAAACGCTCAGTGCCGGTCTCTGCAGAATGGCCCAAAACCACAGCATTGCAACCTGCATCGGATAGAAAAAAAGTTTGCATCCTCCCGGGACGCAAATTTGCACGACTTTCGACGGTCTGCATCTATGGGTCCTCGAAACTCCCAACCCACATCCACGACAGTACAGTGCTTTCGACGATCTAATCCAGACGAGTCAAAGAGTTTCAGTCATCTACTGCTGAGACTTACCAAAGATGACGAATAAAGAGACGATGATGTTAGCCTGGCTGCCCGCGTTTCGTAAAAGCTGAACACTTAATATCTTGGCAACTGTTCTCTGGACTGCGAGTGTAATTATCTGATAGTATCACTCTCTCCATATAGTGCAATCACAATGCGAATGTCTTTCTTTGGTGTTACCTTTGATAAAGGTCCCGCGACATCTCTATATTTCATTCTTTCACTACTTCTGTGCGGAGTTCCGAGGAAGAATAACCTAGTCAGACAGTTCTGGATGTTGTGAAAGGCAGTTTCGTTGTCGGAGTACAGGAGGGCCTACGTGATCAGTACTTGTTCGAGAGCTAGGGAAGACTGATATTGAAGTAAGAGGCTTTTATCTGCTTTACAATCAACCCTCCAAGCGAATGGGCCACCAATGTGGTGGGTCTTTCCCACTTCTCGAGTAATTCAGTTCAGATCATACCAGAGAGCAACGAGGCGCTTTGCTTACAATTCGGCTCTCCCTCGTGTCCACCGAGCTCGTTAGCAGGGACCTTGCGATATCTGTTGAGATTTGCTGCAGCACCTGTGTTGTAGCTACCCCTTATGGTGGCAATCAGGCGGCAAATTAGTAGGGGCTTCATATGATATATAAGTAACCTACGTACCACTCCATAGTTAATCAATCCATAACCTCCCTTCAACTTCAACAATATTAATGAGATTCGTTGCATTCTTGTAACTCGAATTTCACTCGTGCTCAAACAACATGATGCGAGCATCTGGTAAGTCCAATGGCAACAACTGTATGAACCACAGTACTTTCTCGGTGTCTCCAGATTCGACAATATCTTGATGGGGCGCTTCCTCCAGCCCAAAAGATGTCCATTCGGCAGACGTCGCAGCCCATGACCGAGTGTCGAGGGTATCTGCTTCAAGGCCATGAACAGCAACGATATTACAGAGATTTGTGAAGGTCAGCGGTCCATTCGCGCCACCGAGCATAAGAATTGTGGTCTTACTCGACCTTCAAAGATTGTCTACTAGGAACCATTCCAGCCCAGAAGTACAGCACTTTTCAAGGCCATCTTGTGCGAATTCAAAGCAACAATGCCTCCATTGCCTTCAGAGTAATGATGGAGGGTACCTGGGCGACTTCAATTTGCTGCATAGCTCGCGAGAATACTCTGAATCCCAAATCAAGAGCACGGTTGGGCTTGGCTATCACGGTGTCGAGTTTCGAGACATTGTGCTCAGGTTGCAGAGAACCGAACGAGGCTCTGGCGTCTGCGGCAGGGTCGTCGTCAATTTTGGCAATGACGAGGGTAGTGCATGGTGCAAGAATGCAGGGAAGGTGGGATCGCTCCCTATTAACGCATATCATATCAGGCTGAGTCCATTTCTGCGGAGTCTCAGTCCGAACGTTGCAATACGACACACCATCGCTTAAAGACGCCACAGACTCTGCATCCGCGCTACAGAACGCAGATGCAGGTGAGGCTGACCACACAGCGAAGTCCCCTCCATCCCGGCCTGAAAAGGACTGGAGTCTGCAAAAGCGACGGCGGCAGCATCCCAAACTTTTGCAACTGCCGATTGGTCTCATAGCACTGTTACCCTGCACTTTTCGAGAAGCAACAGGGCCCTCTTCTGACGTCGGTGTGCCCTGGGGAGGGGTGTGCGGTTCGCTGCATCGGCCCAATTCGCCCCGGGCGCAAATAATCGGACGGAACGAGAACACAGATGCATCTCTCCACCGCGTGCTTTCTTGGCACCACTACACAGACGCCTCAGCTTACTTACTCTCTACACAGAAGCACTCAGTACGATGACCACGGAGACACCAGCGAAGCAAATCCATCTGCGACATTGCGCGCCTTTGAGGAACTCGGCGATACAACGCCCAAATGCGGATGCTCCTGGACGATCACGAAAAGAGCGCCCGAAGCTGGCCGCGATGCTCCGGGGATCGACGGTTCCAGTGTGTTACGACTATCAGCCAACGACTTTCGCTCCCAAGCCCAAGCGCACGGCGTTGGAACCGTATATAACGTGAAACTATTTCCAACAACAACACCCCAAGATGAGCCAACCAGCACGGTGAGCACGCAATAGTCCTTGCGATGTGCAGATGCCCGTTACAAATTACAGCCTCGTCGACATCGTCATCAAAAGTCCTGAACAGCGCTAATTAGAAGTGGCCCTACCCCCTACGCTCGGAAAGCAGCCCTAGAACTACCGCACGGATTGAACTGTAAGGACCTGTGTTGGTGGCACGATAGGGGCCTTGAGCCCCCGGAAACACGTAGGTGCGACGGCGGAGCACTTCCAAGCGCATCGTCGCGGGTGGGAGCGAATGTCCGAGATCCTGGCGTAGGAGTCGTACCCTTCAGAGGTCAAGACGCCAAGCGAACCCAGAGGCCTTGTGAAGCAAACACACAGCTCTCATTCGACGGAGGCACGAGGCTTAGGCTTCGCGCCTTGCGGGGAACTTGAACGATGCAAAGGTACTCAACTACTCCAATATCCAGCGTCTCGAGCCTGGATCACGGCCGGAGCCATTCAAGTTTCAAGTGTTGGGGTTGTAACGTTGAACGGCTACCCAAGCTTTTCGGTACGGGCCATCTGACCAGATTTTAGTGTTGGTGTAAGCTAGATAGCGGTACCAACAGCATCGCTCTTGTACCCTGCCAAACATCCAAAAACACTTCATTGCCATATGACTTCCCTCCAGAATTGCCCCCTCCCCGCCTCACAATCCCCCCTTCACCTCCAACCTAAGCGGTATCCTTCCCCCTCTGCCCGCAGTAAAACCCCAGCCCCCCCTTCTCCGTCTTGAACGTGATCACGCTCCCCTTTGGAAAGAAGAAGACATCGCCCTTCGCCGCCTTGACACTCTGGCCGCTCTGATCCGAAATTTCAAAGTCACCGTCCACAATGATCTTCATCTCGTCGTAGGTATAGGTGTAGACGAGCGGGGTGCCGGGGTCGAGACGGTAGAAGCCGGAGGAGATGGGGTTGTCTTTGCGGTCACTGTGAGGGGAGAGTGGGGTCAGCATGTGGGGTTCTGATGATGGGTGGGAGAAGGGGGACTCCTAGGTGAAAGACGTCGTGGGGAGTGGCGGATGGGAAGAAGAGACGTACGAGGAGAAGATGTCGCCCAAGAACGCGTTCTCGTTCCCGATTAGGGGCAGGGTCTTTGTGAAGTCGGTTTGTGCGTTGGCGTAATGCTTGAAGGTGTCGGGGGTGGAGGAAGCCATGGTGGAAGTTGTGGTCTTTTCGGTTGTGGAAGGAGAGGTCTTTTGCTTGACGGTGCTGAGGAGGGAACCCATTGATGTTAGCTGATCTATGCAGGTAAAGATTGAGGGTTGGGCTGTTGAGGTCTGGTTTGGATGGGGGTGGAGATGGTGGGAGGGGTCAATTGCGTACTTATTCGTGCTTGAAATGGTGTGCTGCGGCGTCAATGAATCAATCAATGCCAATGATACGATATGGGACGTGATGCGGTGATAAGATTGCCAGAAACGACGGTCGATGCTGTACAGCGACAGAAGACCAATGCTCCGTCGAGAAGGAGCTTCAGTGCACCAGGGGAATGGTTGACTGCATGAGGAACAGTGCGTGGGTGCCACCAGGAAACAGGGTCTTGAGCTTTCCCGCGGGCCAGTGCACGGTCAATGCTCGGAGGACATCTGGCATAGCTGAAACGATGACTCGCAGATAGCGATACCATCCACCGATACAATTGGAGAATTATGTCAGGCTCACGAATAGCCAGCGAAAGACGCAAAAGAAGTTGGATGGGGGGATATTATTTCCTCATATGGAAAGGTCGAGGCTTATCGATAAGACGTGCCAAGCCTCGGGAACAAGGCGATAATTACATTACTCTTGCGGGGTCCTTTATGCCAGTCTCCCCACTTCTGGGAAAAATCCATCTGCAGCCTCTATTCAGCAAGACTATCCTGTCCGCTCAGTCTTGACTAGACTCGATTGGTTTTGGATGCTCGGTTGAGATACCACAGTACATCAAGGAAGAGGGACCACATTGGCCCGTTGAGGTTTGATTCATACTTAAAGGTAGATTGACATGAATGGTAGCTGAAAGTAGTCTATAGCTCCAGTCAGCATCCCACACCCTTCGGCACAACCCCTGGAGGAGCGCGGAATTGCCCATCCGTTCGCCAGAGCGCCTTGCTATAAAGAATGGAAAAAATCCAGAAGCCCGGCGAGAAGGTCAAAGCAACCAAAATCGTCGCTCGCTGAACAACGTTACAGCAGAGCGTTGTAAAGTCAAGCAAATCATAAGATATGACACCAACATGCGAAGGATATGAGAAGTAAAGAGCAAGAAAGAAAAGAGAGTGTCACATTATGGGTCCCTATCCGAGAAGGACTGGATTCTGTCAGCTATCCATAGGCAATACCACAGATTATACAACTCACCTTCCCACTTCCAATCCTTCATCACACCGGCCCAGTGCAAGTCCCCACGGACCGTCAATTCGTAATCGAGACCTCCTGGTGCGGTACCTGACGAATCTTTGCGGAGCATGCCAGATCTTGACCTGCTCGACGGTGAGGGCCTCGTGTTCTGTGTTACTCTACGTGTACTCCCATCATTTGAGTTGGCATCATGGACGTTATCATCCCCAGAGCTTGATTTCCTCTTCATACATTTGGTAGGCATATAACCTGTCAGCAAATGATCAGCAGCAGCTCGATGTCGTTGTCGGCGCCGCTCTTGTTCACGGTTGTCGCGACGCTCCCAGACTTCCTTGACGACGATCCAGCATTTGTCGAGGTTCTGTATATTCATACGTGCCATCATCGCCTCCCATCGATCTGCCACCCATTTGCGGTCTTCTGCACCAATGACCTCGCAGCTAGCGGCTAAGAGAGGAAAGATGTGAATTATGACCGCTCGTGAAGTGGGCGGGACGTTAGCGAGGTGGTTCAAGACTTCTTTCGCCATCGCAGCTATTAGTTCAGTCACTGACCCAGAGTAAATCTCCGGAACCGCTTGGTGAAGGTACAGAAGGGTGGCCCAACGGTATGCTTCTGCCGTTCGTTGGCTGTGTTTGATCTCCGTCGACTGGTCTTCTGGTGCTTCAAACATCACCGGGGCTTCCCACTTTTCGATGGAGTCTTTTAGTTCGCTGGCCTGAGAGACCATTGGCAAAGAATTCTCTCCCGACGTGCGCACTTTTCGGATGAGGTTCGCAACACGACCGATAAGTGGAAATAGCGTACTGGCACAGCCCATCAATGGATCAATGCCTTGATTGGGAGCTGATGGTCCGCACAGAGGGCTGAGAACGGTGTCAAAGTCTTCGGATTCATCACCGTCGAGAGAAGTCAGGCGAGCGATGACATCCATATACACCCACGTTCTACATAAAAAACTAAGCCGCGCCGCGGCTTCAGGGTGCATTGAGCCCTGTCTGTGGTTGATCAGTGCCTCACTGACCAATTTTTTGGCTCCTCGTAGATGCGTAATTCCCGTAGATATCAGCTGGTCCCAGGACTCAGCGAACGCCAAGACAAGTGTTGTAGCGAGCGAAATGTCTATACGTGTATCTTGGATCTCAGCTGACAAAAGTTTGAGACTCTGGCCAAAATCTTGCATACCCCTGATTCTTAAAGACGGCTTCTCCTTCGACGCGTGGAATGCTGTCATTGCATTGATAGCATATCGTAGCGCCGGCGACTCTCTCGCCATCGGCCAAAGCTTCATCCTCCATGGGTTCTCGGTCGGCCCATCCTTTATTGAAAGTATGCCGCACGTTTGGGTGTCGAAGCGCAGCGTGAGCATTTCTTCGCTGTCAGGGTGTAGTCTTGGCTGGCCGTAGATGGCTGCAGAGAGCATGTCGAAGCGGAAGCCGTCGGACGAGGAGGAAGAGTCGGAGAATACTGGTGATGGGAATGCCATGGCCCAAGCATCTGGGGGCTCCGGCTCTCGCATGATCTCTTCCACGTCGTCCTCTGAACCTGAGGATGGATAGGTCTGTAAGCGGGGAGTGCTCGGAAAGCCGCTGGGTCGGTATATGTGTGTAGGTTCGTAGTCCATGTAGTCAGAAGGCCTAGCGTTGAGATCTGTGCCAGGTAGTAAGAGATTCTCCAGCTTGGGAGAGTTGTCGGACCAAATAGTTGATGGTGCTGTCGTTGCCGATTGAGGAGGTACTTCATCATCGAAGCCATCGTTGATGAGACTGGGTGTGGAGCTAGGAAAGCTGTTCTCTGTCTTCAGACGGTTTTGCAACATAGAAAACTCCTCGTGAGCGTGTGCAGTTTGGAAGGGGAGGATGGGCGGCTCGGGATGCGATGTATGCACAAGCTGGGAGACGAGAGAGACTGCAGACTGTGGTGGTGTGGGATAGTCGGGGAGGACGGGTGGGAAGTCATTGCTGGTGGGTGACCCGGAGGATTCTGGCGGTAGAAAGGGGACGGGAGGCAGGAGAGAGCGGGAGCTGGTTGAGGTGACGGATTCTGAAGTTGTCAGTCATTGTCGCGACGCTAAGGAGCTGCACAACCTACTCTTTCTTGGCCTTGGGGATGTAGGCTTGGTCCTGAACGTATCCTCTTGAGGGCGCCATTTCAGAACCTTTTCATATCCCTCGCACTGGACACCCTTCTTATCGCATTGTTGGCAGACGGGCTTGGTTTCGTCACACTTCAAGCGTTTTTCCTTGCAGGTCCTACATCCTATGGCGACTGTTAGCGGTTGGAGAACCTGTACAGCTAAGATAAGACCAAGGTGCTGCTGGAACACTTGCCATCGCGACTCTTTGTTTGTTTAGGCTTCGAATGAGCATTTGCGTGGGTTGCAGACTTGCGACTGTGCTTTGCCACCGCTGACTTCTTTTTGGAAGAAGCCTTGACGGAGACCTTGGCCGTGTGCGTGGGCGCAGGTGTGCTGCCGGGGGATCGAAGGAAAGCTGACGGGGAAGGAATTGTGATCGTTGCCATGGGATTGAACAAGGGTGCAAAGCTGCAAATGAACCAGGTTGTTGTCGTCAATCAATACGCTGTCAGAAAGAAAGAAAGATGACTATCGTGTGTGTGCTGTTTGTGCGCCGAGGGGAGGGGAGCTGGCCTTGGCGCGATCATCTGGGGTTCGCGGCGTCGGGTTGACAGCGCTAAGAGATCTGCAGCTCTGCAAGTCACCATTAAGCGAATGCAGGGCTTAACGCTAGTATTGGTCCTGACCAAACCAGACGTTGGAGATAGAAGTGGGATTCTTAGATATGACTTTTATTTTAAAAGAAGTTGACAGTTATAGGGATCATTCTGTTGAGCGTCTCATTTGTAGGCCGGAAGTGCCAACCAATGTGATATTAGACAACGGCTCCGTGGAGATGTGTGCTGCTGCGACTCTCCGATGACTTCAACCAACAGAAGGAGCGTGTCCAAATCGAAAAGCGCCTGTAGGGCATGTCTTTGCATCTCGCCGTGACTGTCGGGAGCCTACTGCGGAGTGGTTACTAGATGGGGTTGAGATCTCAAGATTGGTCCAATAAGACCTTGTCACCTCATGCGAGCCTTTGCACGGATATTACGGCCGAGTCTTGGATCCTATCATGATCACGCCGTAGTCATATGCTCGTAGACGCAAGAGGGAGGGAGGGGGAAAAATGGATCTGGCAGTCCACCTGCTGAATCCCGGTTAAATCAAAGGGGCCACGCGCATAACCGGCGTGGCAGGGAAATAGCCGCATACCTATGACAATGTGCTCACTCCCTCATTCATCAAAACAGCCGTTCAAAGCCATGCGGAACGGGAATGAAGCATCAAATACAAAAAAATTTGTCGCCCGAGGAGGGGCTCGAACCCTCAACCTTGAGATTGTACATTGTGGTAAAAGTCTCACGCGCTAGCCACTGAAATAGTTAGTACCGGCATCAGAAGAAACTAGAAAGGGCAATTTACATTGTGCCACCCGGGCATCCAATTTTAATTTGCGACTATCTTAAATTATATACATTGAATTTCGTGGGGGACAACTACAAGTAGTAAACTGCTTCGGCAAACCTTCTACACATGGCGTCTTCGCTACGTCTCTTAATTCTCGAAATAACAACAGTTTCAGAGTGGACAAATTCTAATGACTTTGGAGTCGCAAAATATATCGTAAGTCATTGCTAACAAAAGACTCGGGTTTGAACTATTAATTCACTATAATGTATAGAGAACCAAAAAAGTTTGCCTTTCGAGCGACATGACTCAAGACTGCAAGCATTTAGCAGCTTAGCTGAAGTTTCGTAGCTTTGTACATCGAAACCCGTCTAATCCCTCATTCTTTAGCAGCATTTGAGTCGCAGTGATAAGGCGCTGGTTTTACGTCGATGCCTTGGCGCGACAGGACCTAGAGTACTCGTAATGCCAAGACATGGTTCAGCTGATAGCCATTTTACGCACTGCCCGACCTCCTTTCGGACTCTAACCCACAATACATTGTTGTTGCTTTTAGCAGCTGCCCCAGACCGATCTCCCTGTGCGTACTAGCTTAATTCGGGTCTAGGTGGAACCAAAGCACCTCTGGTTAGATACAAAAGGTTGTCCGCGATCCCTGTCCATGATGGATACGAAAAGACTCGACACGGCCTACCCCGAATCGAACGTATTAAAAGTCTATCCAGACCGAGTTCCTCTCGACCGCCTTCTCGAATGCATATCGCGGCGACTGTGGCGCTGTACGGTTCCCAATACGACCAGACGCTCCTGACTCAGCCAGAGAACAAGATCTCGAAGCGATGACATGCCGTCTATATCACATCAATTCGCAGCCATCAAGCTCTCCCAATTGCTTTCGGCTTGAACAACAATGCCAGCCTACTAGCAGTCTCAAATGTTCTGCAACTCAAAATCAAGAAGTGAGAATGTCACTGTGCTTCCTGTTATAGCGACATCTAAGGTCTCCGCCAATAGTCCTTGAGCGTGCAGCTGGGATGAAAATGATTCCGTGTCCCGATTGATAAAGAAGTACACATATGACACTCCAGCTTTGACGGTGGTACATTCGGTTCGGATAGATGCCAATGTTGTCGGTGCGTTCTCGTACTTGCCAATGAGTGTATTGCATAAAGTAGCTGCTTTTGTGCAGGTTGTCACGAGAGTCGCGACGGCTGTGTGACAGAGAGAGGATCCATGATGAGTCTCTCGGATATCCAAGGCTCTTACTCACTATGTCAGAGTGGGATGGACAATCTGAGTACAAGGCTACCAGTGGGGTAGGTACCTTAGATTGGTACCCATTGAAGCTGTACTCGCCGCTAACCCGATTTCGAGAGGAGTCGTCAACCTATCAAATAGGGGTGTATATTTATCGCTTCCCTACTAGAAATAAAAATAGGCTTACATAGACAAGAACAAGAATGACCAGGCTCGTGTGGGTAGAAGAGGATGTAGATTCTATGGAAGCAGGATCTCGAGGATTCCCTAAGGATCTAGCCAAGCAAACTATACTATATAAAGCTAGAAAGAATAACCCCGCAGGAAGCACCTTCCGACTACTACGGAACAAACAAGATAGAGCCTTAGCGACTATAAAGCTATATATAAATATAGATAAAAGAAATAAAGCTATAGCATAGCATAGCACCTAAAGTAAGAATAAAACTACTACTATTCCTATAATTATTTTCATATAATACTATAGAAAGTAAGAACGTCGAAGCCTTTCGTAGATAGCTTAAACTCTACTTCGTAAAAGTATATATTTTCGAGAAAGTATAGGCTTCGAGAAGATATAAACTTCGAGAAAATATAGGTTTTAAAGTCTTTTATAAGAAGTATAAATCTCTAGAAAAGCTTCTAGCGAAGATATTAAGTAGTTTATTATTATAATAATAAGAGAATAGCGAGATTTAGAAGATAGTCTATATAAGTAATAAATTTCTTAAGATAATCTTCGTAAAATATATATTTAATCTTTCGATTATTGAGTTATATAAGTGTAAAGAATCTTTTATAAGATTTACTATACTTATTTATTCGAAATAAATCTCTTTAACGAGTCTTTAATTTTTTTATATTTTTTTAATATAATATAATTAGATCGTTAATATAATGCGTAACTTGCTTAATCTCTTTATTATATCGGAAAGTTATATCTTTCTTCTACTAATTTAAACGTTATCTAATCATATTATAAAGATTCGCTTAATAAATAAAATATTAATATACTATTTAAATATAATTAATAGAATTCTCTAGCTTCGTAATCTAAATAGAAATATTATATTCGAGAAGTATATATAAAATAGATATACTAATAGAAGCTTCTAATAGCGATTCGAAAAGAATATTAATAGAAGAAATTTCTAAATATTTAATAATTTATATATTAATCGAATCTCTAGTCTTTAGTAGACGCTGATCTTATTTTAATTTAGTATAAAGGGAATCCTTATAAAGTACTACTTTTAGTAGTTTATTATAGATTTCGATTATTCTTATACTCTTAAAAGTATTAAAAAAATTATATATAATAATAATATCTTTAAATCTTAAGAATTATTTTAATTTATTATTAAAGAAATATTAATCGTAATTAAGATAGTAGATATAAGGCTTTTTATATATAATAAAGAATAATTTAAGATATTAGATAATATTCTTTATATTAATAGAGATAGTAATAAAGGAAATTATAAATTTACTTATATAGTAGACTTTTATAAATATAAAAGTAAATCTTACTTTAGTAATTTTAAGTAAATTTCTAAAATTAATTTTTATAAGCTAGAAAGAGTATATAATTTTAATAAAATATAAAGGCTAAGATCTAATAGCGGGTTTATATTTAATATACTCGAGATATCTAATAATATACTTTTTAATATCTTATACTTTTTTAGGCTAATAGTAGTTACGTAGTCTTATTAGAATATTAATCTTAATCTAATATTCGCTTTTATTATAAACTTTTTAAAGTACTATAAATATCTTTTCTTTCGATATATAAGATAAATATATATCTTCTTAAAAGATCTATAGAATATATCGTATTATTCGATATTTAAAAGCTCTTTAAAATAGCGTAATAGTGAAAGTCGAAGATTCTATGATAAGAAATTTATAGATTTTATTAAATTAGATACTACTACGATAAGCTTTAATTTAAATCTTAATATTCTTATTAATCTTATTGAAGATTTTTATAAATAAATTTATAGCTTTTATAGTAGAAATAGCTTTTAATAAGAAAGAAGAAATATTATATAGCGTATCTCTATTAATAATTTTAAGTTACTCTAATTTAGTAAGTACTATTAAAAATAAAATAAATTTATTCTTATTATTCTTTTAGATTTATTTTAAATTATAATTCTCTAATTTTTATCGTACTTATATAATTATAATATTCTCTAAGTATTTAATATCGAATAAGATTCTTAATAAGTCGTTAATAAGTAGCTTTATTTCGAGGCCTAGATATATACTAAATAATAAGATTTAAGCGATAAAATTTATTAACTTAATACTTATAGATTTTTTTATAAAGATCTAAATTAAGAAAGTATATAAGAGGTTTATAATTAGTATATATTATAGTAAGCTAATATAAAAACTTATATAAATAATTATACTTCTTATAAAATATAATAATAATATAAAGTTCTTATTTATAAGTAAAGTATTTCTTTTAAGTAAGATTAAAAATAAATAAATCGTATAAGATAAATACTTTCTTATTCTTTTCTATTACGATAAACTTTTAAGATTATAAAACTTCTAATAGAATAGCTTCTTATAATATAAGAATATAATATTATATAATAGTATACTTAGCTATAAAATCGAAAGTATTAATATATATATAAACGATTTAACTTAAGTTAATATTATATATATTTATTTTTATAGTATATTTAATATATAGAATCTCGAAGAATAGCTATTCTACTTAAGTTTATCGCTATTTTATCTTTCTTATAAATCTAGAAAAAGATCTCGCGATTTTCGCGAAGTTCTTTATTTATTAATATATAATATCGATAGTTTTTAAGAAATCTCGAATTTTTAATTAATCTAAAGAAATAGATTATTTAATTACTTTAATAATTTATTTTTTAAAAATATAAATATATTTTTTAATAATATAAGTTATATTAAAGTTCTTAATTAATAATATAAATAATTATAATTTCTTAAAGAATAAAAGTAACTTAATTTACTTAACTCTAGAAAAAAAGTAATATTATAAAAAAGAAAATAAATTCTTAAAATTATAAAAGTTATTAAAGAAATTATTTATATAGAATATAAGAGATAGTAGAATCTTAGAATTCGACGAATATAGTAAAGAAGATTTTAAAGAAATAGGATTAAATGCTCTATAAGCCAGCTTCGTTATAGTAAAGCCTATAGATTATAATCTCTATTATATTCTTATAAGCTATATCTAACTAATATCTAAAATAATAAAAATAAAATAATATTTATTATTAGAATATAGAGGTATTATAAGATACGCGTACTTTAAATTAATTAAGAATAAGTATTTATAATATAAATTAAATAGATAATCGTAAACTTTTAAGCTTAGCTTAAGATAAGCTTCTAAAAAAAAGCTCTATAACTCGTAAATAATCGAAAGTTATTCTAGACTTATTAGTAGATTTCGAATTCTCGACTTTATCTATTATAATAGCTTATATATTTTATTAAAATATATATCTATTTATAGACTTAATAAGTTTATAAATATTATCTTCGAGATCGTCTTAAATAAGCTTTCTTAGTTATTATTCTATATAAAGAAACTAGCGCTTCTAAAATTTTAAGAAAATAGACTTTATATTAAATATAATACGTACTTAATATATAATAAAATTCGTATAAAATAGATCTCTTAGATCTTCTTTATTAAGATATTTATATTAATATAATAATTAT